CCAGGGACGAGGTGGGCCAAGGCCAGGGCTGTTCCCAGAGCTGGGAAGATGTTGGGATGGACGGAGCAGGAGAGCAATGCACACAGCTGTGGGGGAGTGGCCACGGGCGGTGGGGGGCTCAGCTCATTGAGGGCTCCTGGTGGGTGCTCACCACGCAGAACCACACCCCTCCAGGCTCGTGTTTCACCTCCTGTTTCCCGGTGTCCTTTGGTGTCCTTTTCTGTCCCAGGACACGTCCAGCATCCAGCGTGACAGACACCGAGTTCCCAAACCTCCTTGGGCTCCTCTTGGCTGTGACGGTTTCTCGGACTTTCTTTTTTTGATGACTCTGGCAGTTGTGGGGAGTCCTGGTCCATTTCAGAGAACGCCCCTCAGTTGGGAGGTGTCTGGTGTTTTCTCTCGTGGTTAGCCTGTGGCTGGGTGTTTCCGGGAGGAAGACCCCAGAGGACAGGCGCCCTCCCTGTACACGGCGTCTGGGCACACGCGTCAGCCGGACTGGGCGCCGTCTCCCCCTCCGTTACCCATGAGTGCAGCTCACCTTCCTCTCCCACCCCAGCCAGGCTTCTGGACCCTCATTCAGGGTTTGGGGTCTCGTTTTGGTTCCCGCTGTTGGATCTGCAGATGGGCTTGCCTTTGGGGCCTGCCGTGCTGTGGATTTGGGGGCTGCTGTGAGACCATCCAGCCTTTGAAAGGCTGTGGAAAGATAGATGACAGCAAGCGGCTGCAGGAGGCCCAGGGTCCGGGCGGCCTGTACAGGGGCTTCTTTCCCCGTGACTCTGGCCGGGTCCTGTGGATTTTTAATTCTGACGGCGTGTCTGCAGAATGAAGCACCGTACAAGCCTCGACAGGCAGCACGGACAGTACCAGCCCCTGCCGTCCTGATGCTGCCCGAGGGCGAGGGACATTCGTGGATGATTCACGGGCTTCATGAGCTATTTGCAGACATCCGCCCGAGTCTCCTTCAAGGGGAAATTCCTGAGCGGCCGCCTCGCCTCGCTGTTCTCTTCCGAGGCGTGTGGGAGCCCAGCCGGCCTGGTGGGAGGAGAGGGTTGAAATGCCGTGGCTGCTACTTCTCGCCCTGGATGCTACTGGCTGAAGGAGCCTTCTTTTAAAGCCTTATTGATCACGTTTCTCAGTGATAACAGGAACCATCACGCACGGTCAGGGTGCGAAGTGGAGCGGCCCAGGCCTGGGGGACCCTGGACTTCCTGCTCCACACTCCTGCCCCACACGCCCGCCGGAGGGACCGTGGTGTTAGCGAAGGGGCCGTTCCCATCGCTCCCGACTGGTCACATGGTTGTTTTTTTTTTTTTTTTTTTGAGACCGAGTCTCGCTCTGTCGCCCAAGTGGGAGTGCAGTGGCGTGATCTCGGCTCACTGCAAGCTTCGCCTCCTGGGTTCCCGCCATTCTCCTGCCTCAGCCTCCCAAGTAGCTGGTACTACAGGCGCCCGCCACCTCGCCTGGATAATTTTTTGTATTTTTTAGTGGAGACGTGGTTTCACCATGTTGGCCAGGATGGTCTCGATCTCCTGACCTCGTGATCCCCCCGCCTCGGCCTCCCAAAGTGCTGGGATTACAGGCGTGAGCCACCACGCCCGGCCTGGTCGCATGGTTTTAAGGTGTCCCGAGTTTTGCTGCACTTGGTTTTGGGGAGACCATGAGCTTGGCATGAACTGAGATTCCTGAGTCAGCCTTTCTAAACTGTCCTGGGCAGGCCACTGCTGTGATGTAAAATGTGAAAGGAGCAGGCCTTTACAGGGGTTTCTGTGAGGTGAGTTGAGTATTTCAGTCCTTAAATGTGGAGACAAATCAGAAATGGGTTTGTCTTCTGAGGAGGCGAGTTAGGTGGGGGTCGGTACCGTGGCTCATTATGTGTCCTGACCGGAACCGGGATCAATCCTCTGACCTGCCGAGATGCCTGCCGTCCCCCAGGGGAGATGGACCGGGTCGGGGCCCTGCCCTCCCCCAGGGGAGACGGACCGGGTCGGGGCGCTGCCGTCCCCCAGGGGAGACGGACTGGGTCGGGGCTGGGTTGGTGTCTGTGCCGCTCCTGCCTGAGGCTGGGTCGGTGTCTGTGCCCCGCTCCTGCCTGAGGCTGGGTCGGTGTCTGTGCCCCGCTCCTGCCTGAGGCTGGGTCGGTGTCTGTGCCCCGCTCCTGCCTGAGGCTGGGTCGGTGTCTGTGCCCCGCTCCTGCCTGAGGGCACGCGGTGTCTGGGTGCTGTTTTTTGGCCCACAGGGTGGATTTGGCTGGGGACACTTGATCTGGGTTGTTGGGCCATCCCTTGCCCCCGCTTCACCCAGCCTGTCAGAGGCCACCTGTGCATGGCGCCTGGGCAGGGGCACCGCCGAGGCCTGCCCTGAGGGTTAGACACTGTGGGCCGCCCGGCAAGAACCCTGCCCGTCTCACCCTCCTGCACCGCACACCCAGTCTTTCCTGTGTGTCCGTTTGTCCTCTGAGGAGCTTTCCAGTCATCATGAATGTGCAGAATGACGAGGGAGGAGGTGCCATCCCAGGCGAGTGGCCCTATCCCCAAAACACAGGCGGGGCTCGGCCAGAGGAAAACTCGCTGCCCTTCACAGCAGCCAGGCCTGCCGATGTCCAAGTCCAGGCCAGGGGAGCGCAAGGGACACAGCTGGGTGTGCAGAGGATTAGAGAGGTGGCTGGGTGTGCAGAGGGTTAGATGAGGGGGCTGGGTGTGCAGAGGGTTAGAAGGGGGCTGGGCGTGCAGAGGGTTAGAGGTGGGGCTGGGCGTGCAGAGGGTTAGAGGTGGGGCTGGGTGTGCAGAGGGTTAGATGAGGGGGCTGGGTGTGCAGAGGGTTAGAAGGGGGCTGGGCGTGCAGAGGGTTAGAGGTGGGGCTGGGTGTGCAGAGGGTTAGAAGGGGGCTGGGCGTGCAGAGGGTTAGAGGTAGGGCTGGGTGTGCAGAGGGTTAGAGGTGGGGCTGGGTGTGCAGAGGGTTAGAAGGGGGCTGGGCGTGCAGAGGGTTAGAGGTGGGGCTGGGCGTGCAGAGGGTTAGAGGTGGGGCTGGGTGTGCAGAGGGTTAGAAGGGGGCTGGGCGTGCAGAGGGTTAGAGGTGGGGCTGGGCGTGCAGAGGGTTAGAGGTGGGGCTGGGTGTGCAGAGGGTTAGAAGGGGGCTGGGCGTGCAGAGGGTTAGAGGTGGGGCTGGGTGTGCAGAGGGTTAGAGGTGGGGCTGGGTGTGCAGAGGGTTAGAGGTGGGGCTGGGTGTGCAGAGGGTTAGAAGGGGGCTGGGCGTGCAGAGGGTTAGAGGTGGGGCTGGGCGTGCAGAGCGTTAGAGGTGGGGCTGGGTGTGCAGAGGGTTAGATGAGGGGGCTGGGTGTGCAGAGGGTTAGAAGGGGGCTGGGCGTGCAGAGGGTTAGAGGTGGGGCTGGGTGTGCAGAGGGTTAGAAGGGGGCTGGGCGTGCAGAGGGTTAGAGGTGGGGCTGGGTGTGCAGAGGGTTAGAGGTGGGGCTGGGTGTGCAGAGGGTTAGAAGGGGGCTGGGCGTGCAGAGGGTTAGAGGTGGGGCTGGGCGTGCAGAGGGTTAGAGGTGGGGCTGGGTGTGCAGAGGGTTAGAAGGGGGCTGGGCGTGCAGAGGGTTAGAGGTGGGGCTGGGCGTGCAGAGGGTTAGAGGTGGGGCTGGGTGTGCAGAGGGTTAGAAGGGGGCTGGGCGTGCAGGGGGTTAGAGGTGGGGCTGGATGTGCAGAGGGTTAGAGGTGGGGCTGGGTGTGCAGAGGGTTAGAAGGGGGCTGGGCGTGCAGAGGGTTAGAGGGGGCTGGGCGTGCAGAGGGTTAGAGGTGGGGCTGGGTGTGCAGAGGGTTAGAAGGGGGCTGGGCGTGCAGAGGGTTAGAGGTGGGGCTGGGCGTGCAGAGGGTTAGAAGGGGGCTGGGCGTGCAGAGGGTTAGAGGTGGGGCTGGGCGTGCAGAGGGTTAGAGGGGGGCTGGGCGTGCAGAGGGTTAGAGGTGGGGCTGGGCATGCAGAGGGTTAGAGGTGGGCCTGGGCGTGCAGAGGGTTAGAGGTGGGCTGGGCGTGCAGAGGGTTAGAGGTGGGCCTGGGCGTGCAGAGGGTTAGATTGGGGGCTGGGCGTGCAGAGGGTTAGAGGTGGGGCTGGGTGTCCAGAGGGTTAGAGGTGGGGCTGGGCGTGCAGAGGGTTAGAGGGGGGCCTGGGAGTGCAGAGGGTTAGATGAGGGGCCTGGGCGTGCAGAGGGTTAGAGGGGGGCTGGGCGTGCAGAGGGTTAGAGGGGGCTGGGCGTGCAGAGGGTTAGAGGTGGGCCTGGGCGTGCAGAGGGTTAGAGGGGGGCTGGGCGTGCAGAGGGTTAGAGGAGGCTGGGTGTGCAGAGGGTTAGATGAGGGGGCTGGGCGTTCAGAGGGTTAGAGGGGGCTGGGTGTGCAGAGGGTTAGAGGGGGCTGGGCATGCAGAGGGTTAGAGGGGGCATTGGATTTTTAACAGTCTCTTGGGTGGCGTTTGAGGCATGACGTCCCTGGGACGCACTCTTGGTTCGGGTCTGACCTGGCTGTTTTAACCAGGTGGAAATGTTTGTGCGTCTCCCGAGTGGGCACATCCATCCTGCTGAGAGCACACTTGCCGTGGCCTCCACAGAGACCAAGCGACACTCTTAAGAAAGCGAGGGGAGATGCGTTCTCTTCAAAGGCTTGAAGGTGGCCGGGCACGGTGGCTCACGCCTGTAATCCCAGCACTTTGGGAGGCCGAGGCGGGCGGATCACAAGGTCAGGAGATCGAGACCACGGCGAAACCCCGTCTCTACTAAAAATACAAAAAATTAGCCGGGCGCGGTGGCAGGTGCCTGTAGTCCCAGCTACTCAGGAGGCTGAGGCAGGAGAATGGCGTAAACCCAGGAGGTGGAGCTTGCAGTGAGCCGAGATCGCGCCACTGCACTCCAGCCTGGGCGACAGAGCAAGACTCCGTCTCAAAAAGACAAAAAACAAAACAAAACAAAACAAAACAAAACAAAACAAAACAAAACAAAAAACCAAAGGCTCGAAGGTTGTAGTCATGGTCTGAGGCTGCTTTTGGTAACAAGAACGTGCTGGTGGCTGGTAGAACATGCTCATGTGTTCAGTGCAGTCCCTACGTGGGAGGACCAGCCATACCCCGCTGGCGTGCTCCGTCCCCCTTTTCTGTGCGTCTTTGTGTTCTGGACTCATCGTCTGTGTTACTTTAGTAAGCAGTGAAAGGACAGACTCACGCCTCGTTGTCCCCACGTGTGGGGCTTTGTCGTGAGGCCGCTGGTGCACAGTCGGACACACGGATCCCAGGTGTGACCCTGTGGCGGTTACATGGTTATGTTTTCTAAGTTTAATGAATTGCTCGATATTCATCCAACTTGAACAAGTTGTTGCTAGTGCTTTTTTCCAACTGCATAGATTGCCTGTAGGAGGCTTGCATGTGTGTTTTTTGAGGTGTCCTTGGGGCCTGATAGGTGTTGCCATCTTCCCAAGCAGGCTGTGCAGAGGAGACACCGAGGTGAGCAGTGGTTGTTGCTGCTGGGAGTGTTGGAGGTGACGGGAAGGATGTTGGTCTCCTTGGTTTGAGTGAACGTGCTTGCTGTGTACACATTTTTCCTACTTGCGCGGTTCGTAGAAGTTCAGATAAACAGTGGTTGCTTGCTGAACGCAAACGTAGTTCCATGCTAAGACCCCAACCACCAGTCAACCCGTGCTTTCCAGAAGGGATGTGGGCCGAGCAGTGGAGCCCCAAGCTGCCCTCCTGGTGGAGAAGGGCAGGCAGGGCTCGGCCTCCAGAGCCGCGCACCCTTCCTGCGGAGAAGAGAAACTTGAACCCAAGCAGCTGTGACTTTGTCCAAGGTTGTATGTGGGGTTGGCTGCGTGGGAGGGAGAACCTGAAACCCTCGGGTCCCTCCCTCCCTCACTCCTTTCCTCCCTCCCTCCCTCACTCCTTTCTTCCCTCCCTCTATCCTTTCCTCCGTCCGTCCCTCCCTCCCTCCAAGAACAGCTGTACCAGGCTCCTGGTCCTTCATCTTCCATTGACTCCCGAAAGACTCGCCAGTCACCGCTGATCTCTCTGTAAACAGTCGGCCATTCTGTCCGGACAAAGGGCCTGAGCAGGAATCCGCTGAAAACATGGGAGAGGAGTGGGGAAGGGCCCTGGATGGGGCTCATTTTGGAAAGACACCTATAATCCTTGGGAAAGACCTTTAGATGTATTTTCTTAGTTGAATGTATTTGTAATTTTTATTTTAACCTGATTTTCATGGAACTTCAGATTTCAGAAAGGTTGCAAGACCAGTGTGGAGAACACCCACCCGGCCTTGGCCTTCGTTGCCCAAATATCAACCTCCTGCCGTGTCGGCCGTGTCCCTCCTGCTCCCCGCCCCGCCCTGGGTCTCCATCTTTCACCCTCACGTTGTTTCTGAACGGTTGGGAAGAAGCAGCTGAGTGGTGTCCCCCTCACAGGTGTGTCTCCTAAAGGCAAGCACGTTTCTTTCGGAATCTGCAGTGCAGTCCCCGGAAGCAGGGAGTTAATGATCACACACGAGATATCTTTTTCGGATCTCACCAACTGGCCCAAACACGGTCTCTAGAAAAAGAAAGTCTGAGGTCGTGCGTGCACTTGGCCGTCTCTGTCATCTGGAGCTTCGTCTGTGTTGTCTCCCTGATGTTTTTGAGGGGTGGGGCTGCTGTTCTGTGGTGCTGGCCTCTCTGTGGTGTGTCCCGCGGTCTGGGCGTCTGCAGTCGCTCATGGTCGCACCAAGGACCTTATACCCTGAGGGCTGTGCTTTCCGCCGTGGGCACCGTACTGGGAGCACGTGCTGCCCGCCCGCCCCGGGACGGCGATGCCCTCTTTGCTGGCATGGCCGGAACCCACCACTCCTGCAGCTGGTGCCTGTCAGCCAGCCAAGGTGGCCGCCAGTGGGCTCTGGCACATCTGAAACATACCATAGAAAATGCCCACCCTCCCCCTAGTGTTGTTTGCCACAGTGATGAGCTCCTGGCCTGCCGTCCTCCGGCCACCTCGCATCCTACCTTGGCCGTTTCTTCTGGACCCTCAGTGTCCCACACAGTTCTGTGCAGGGCTAGGGTGGCTGGTCAAGGATGGGCTGAGCACCGCTAGGAAGGGTCCCGGCCTGGTCGTTCCCAGTCTGGGGGGCTGGTGTGCAGCTCATGGGGCAGAGGGCCCTGGGGTGCACGGGTGGGTGTGGGTTTGATGCCCTTCAGCTCCTCACCGTGCCTGGCTGGGGCATGTGCATTTGCAGACCCTGTTCTCCTGGTCATGGGCTGCTGGCTCGGGGGTCCCGGGCAGGCTGTGGTCTCTGCAGTGGCTTGTGCCGAGTTCCTTGTGCTGCTATGACAGTCCTTGATGATGGGCAGGCTGTGGTCTCTGCAGTGGCCTGTGTCAAGGGCCTTGTGCTGCTGTGACAGTCCCTGATGATGGGCAGGCTGTGGTCTCTGCAGTGGCTGTGCTGAGGTCCTTGTGCTGCTGTGACAGTCCCTGATTCCCTGATGATTCCTGAAGGGCAGGTGATTCATGAAGACAGAAACTTCTCAGAGTTTTCGAGGCTGAAAGTCTCAGACCAAGGCCTGGGCAAGTTTGGGGTCTGTTGAGGGCCCTAGGTTCCCTGCCGTGTCCTTGCGTGGAGGGTGGGAGGGTGGGAGGGTGAGAGAGTTCTACTGCTGAGGGCTGGGTATAGGGACTTTCATCCTTTCCATGCCTCACCACCTCCTACAGACCACCTCCTACAGACCCTGCCTCCTAACACCATCACATGGGCCACTGGGCCTCAACTCGCCAGGGAGCCTCAAGTCCTCCTCCGCCCCAACCCCCTTGTTCATGCCCTCGAGCAGCTGCTAGGATCTACCCCCTGGTTCCAAGCCCTGGGCCCAGCCCCCGGAGGGGTCACCAGCCCAGCCTTCTTGAAAGATGCAGGAGTTGGGGGCTCATTTGCCTGGAGAGCCCGTGGGCAGCATCCTCGACAGGGAACAGTGGGAAATCCTCTGTGTCCCTCAGAAACGGCGGGTTAAGTAGCAAGGCCAGGAGGTGCAGCCTTGACTTTTGAAAGTGAGAATTTTGCCCACATTTGGCTGAATGAGAGATTTTCAATGCCAGAGGGAGGTACCCTTGCCCTGGGCTGAACAGCTCATTTGCTGAGGCTTTCAGGGGCTTTGTTTTAAATGATAATGTGTGTGGGGGCTAGCATGTGCCCTGGGGCTAGCGTGTGCATTGGGGCTAGCGTGTGCCCTGGGGCTAGCGTGTGCCCTGGGGCTAGCGTGTGCCCTGGGGCTAGCGTGTGCATTGGGGCTAGCGTGTGCCCTGGGGCTAGCGTGTGCCCTGGGGCTAGCGTGTGTCCTGGGGCTAGCGTGTGCCGGGGCCTAGCGTGTGCATTGGGGCTAGCGTGTGTCCGGGGGCTAGCGTGTGCATTGGGGCTAGCGTGTGCCCTGGGGCTAGCGTGTGCCCTGGGGCTAGCGTGTGTCCTGGGGCTAGCGTGTGCCGGGGGCTAGCGTGTGCCCTGGGGCTAGCGTGTGTCCTGGGGCTAGCGTGTGCCCTGGGGCTAGCGTGTGTCCTGGGGCTAGTGTGTGCATTGGGGCTAGCGTGTGCCCTGGGGCTAGCGTGTGCCCTGGGGCTAGTGTGTGTCCTGGGGCTAGCGTGTGCCGGGGGCTAGCGTGTGCCCTGGGGCTAGCGTGTGCATTGGGGGCTAGCGTGTGCCCTGGGGCTAGCGTGTGCCCTGGGGCTAGCGTGTGTCCTGGGTCTAGCGTGTATCCTGGGCCTGCGTGTGCCCTGGGACTAGCGTGTGCCCTGGGGCTAGCATGTGCATTGGGGCTAGCGTGTGCCCTGGGGCTAGCGTGTGCATTGGGGCTAGTGTGTGCCCGGGGACTAGCATGTGCCCTGGGGCTAGCGTGTGTCCTGGGACTAGCGTGCACCCTGGGAAATGCCCCTTTCTTTGGAACACAGATATGTGGAAGGAAGGGGTAGTGTCACCCTTAGCCACGGTTTGGAGGTGACAGCTGGTGGGGACCAGGGCCCTCCATGCAGGATCTGCGGTTGGCCTTCTGTGCCTGCTTTTAGTTTCTTCTATGCTGACTCTGAACTGTTTTTCCCTCACCAGGAGATGGAAATCCAAGAGAAAACAGCCCATTCCTCAACAATGTTGAGGCGGAACAGGAGAGTTTCTTTGAAGGGAAGAACATGGCACTTTTCGAGGTAACTTATTGGAAGAAGAAGGTGCCAGGGCCGTTGCTTTGATGTGGAAAAGAAAGGAGCCCCTGGGGGCCCCCAGGCTGGGGCCTCCCACAGGACTGGACACCACGTGGAAGGAACTGGGGCCTCCCTGTCCCGAAGGCCATGGAGGGGACCCAGTCCCGCACCTGAGCTGGGATGTGGTCCTCGACGGGCGCCTTCTGGGGTCCTTCCTGGATCGAGGGTGTTCCAGCCCCACGGGAACCCCTCAGAGCTGCTGAGTGCTGGCCATCCCGGGGTCCCTGCCGTGGGTGGGTGGTCCCACTCAGTGAGGCCTGGAGCCCCGGCCTCAGACTCAGACCTCCACCCAGGTGTCCAGGCCTCTCTGGCTGGCTTCAGACCCAGGGGCGCAGGACCGGGCAAGAGCCTGAGCTCCACAACCTGAACATGGGGAGGCAGCCTGGGGGCCTGCGGCGAGGTGAGGGCCGCCTGTGACCTATGTCCACACCGCACAGGAGGAGATGGACAGCAACCCCATGGTGTCCTCACTGCTCAACAAGCTGGCCAACTACACCAACCTGAGCCAGGGCGTGGTGGAGCATGAGGAGGACGAGGAGAGCCGGCGGCGCGAGGCCAAGGTACTGCTGCCCTGCCCATGCCCGGCCAGTCCCCACCCCGTGTGTCCTGGTAGGTCAGATCACGCCGGCAAAGCAGTTGCTTGTCAGAAGAGTTGCCCTAAGCAATAGTGTCGTGGCCCCGTCCAGCCCTTTCTTTCTGGGAGGACTTGATGGTGCCTGCCCTGCAGCTCCGGTCCAGCCCTCTTCCCTCTCCACTGTCCGGGAAGCATGACATCCCCCACACAGCTGGGCGGCCGGGTTCCCTGTCGAGAAACGAGCTTGGGCTGTTTTGTTCGTTCTGCGGGAGTGGCTCTGTCCCCTGCTGTGGAGAGAAGTCTGAATGGTTCCGAGAGGCCGGGACGTGGCCCCTTCCAGAGGGTGCTGTGGCCTCCGAGCTCCCGGGGGGCCACCCTCCTTTTCGTTTCCTGTCCAGGACACTTAGCCTGGTAGTGTTTTCCCTGCAGTTTTATTCCTTGAGGATTTGTTTCCAGGAATCCGTCCTAGGAAACGAGGGGGCTGCAGTGGGGATTCCGTAGAACGTTTTCCCCTGGGTGGTTTCTGTGGGCGACGAGGTGTGGAAACCCCTTGAGCGTCCTCTGGAGGGTTCTGCCGTCCCCTGCGCAGACGGGTTGCCTGAGAACCACCCTGAGGCCTGACGCCCTGAAGTGACGCTCACAGGCGAGAGAGACCCCGGACCCATGTTGGGAAAAGTCTCATGGGCGGATGAAACAAACGCTGTCCTCGCTGTGGGGGTGCGACAGGTGGCTCAGTTTCTTCTCAACTCCCTCTGCTGTTAAAATCTTCCAAATACGTGTGCATTGCTTTAGAATCATAAGATACAAAAAACAAACAAAAAATCCACCGAAGGAAACTGTGCAGTGCAGGCTCCGCTGTGAAGCCAGGCGACGTCCTCCCCCAGTCTTGACACAAAATTGTCATTTCCCGAGTCAGCCCTGAGCCTGTGCCCCGCTCCTTCGGCAGACAGCTAAGGGCATGCATTGGCTTTTTAGGATGATTTTTAAATTCCCCTATTATTTTCCCTAACTTTCTAACTCTAGAAATACTCTCAGGAGACCCCTGTCTTCTCAGGAGGGAGGGTTTTGTGGCACCAGGTAGGGGCCAGTGAGCAGGAAGGAAGGAGGTGCTGAACTGGGTGCCCACCAGGTCCAGGGAGGGTGGCCCCCCTGCTCTGACCTCCACCAAGTGGGGCGTCCCTCAGCTGGCCCCCTGCCCTCCCCTGCATCTGCCTAGCCTGGGCTCTGTGCTTTGCGTCGGCGCCAGCCCTGAGCGCCTCCTGCCAGCGTCCAGTGTTCAGCTGACCTGGATCCCACACAGCGATGGGGAAGTCAGGCCCCTGAAGATTTCTCTTTCCTTCCTTTTACTGTAAACACAGTGGAATTAATACTGCATTTCCAGGATACCTGAAGACACTTGGTTTTGTTTTTGAGAAGCGTCACTCTGGGGTTGAAGTAATCAGAGATAAGTGAGGGACGTGACCGTGTGGCCACCTCGGGGTGGGGCCTGGCCTGACGAGGGCCCTCAGCCCTGGCTGTTGTCCCAGGACAGGGCAGTGGCCTCCTCAGAAGCTGCGTCTCTGGACCTCTTTGTGGTTCCCCTGCTGGGCCCTTCCCGGCTGGGGGAGCCTGTGGCCACCCCGCCTGTCCATAGCTCGGCCAACCCTTGGGGTGGGGCCATCACTGCTGCACGTGGATGCTGCAGAATTGGGTGTTGCCATGCCGGGCTCAGCACTCAGCACTTCTCTGGGGTCTCATGCAGGCTGGGCGCTACCTTGAGGCCTCATGGGCTCAGGCTGGTGCCCTGGCACCAAAACTCCGGACGGACAGGCCTTCCCTGTCTGTCCGCCTGCATGCTGGAGTTTGTGTCTAGGGAGATGTTGGCCTTCTCCAGGGAGCAGGTGCCTTCCCACGGGCCTGGTCCGAGTGCTCTGGGAACTGGCTTCAGTTCCAGCTCAGCTGGGCTCAGGCACCACTGACCTGGCCACCCAGCTCCAACCCCTCTGCCTGGTGGAGCCCAGCCTGCCATGAGGTGCCCATAGAGAGCACACCCCAGCTTCTCTCACCCTATGTGGTACTGAGACATGAGGGAAATGTCCTGGCAGGTGCGTTTGTTGACGGCACACCGTGGGCCAGGGTCCAGGAGGTTCCCACCTGGAGGGCTCTCCCCGGCCCTCCCTGGCAACCCTACCCCCAGGCCGGTGGCTCTCAGGCCTCTGTCCCTCGGGGTCAACATGCAGGTGCTCGAGGCTGGTGCAGCCTGCGTTTCAGTCGGGGAGGGACCAGGGCCCGTGACCCCAGCAGGCCTGTTGTGTGACGATGGCAGGTTTCGGTTGGCAGTGAATCCTTCAGCTCCCTTTGGGGACTGTGGCTTGGCCCCTGGGGTGGAAGGGCAGGGGCCGCCCCTCGTCCTCTTTGGCCAGGCTCAGAGGCTCATCCCCAGCAGACCTGCACCCATTAAAAGGGCCAGGCATCTCCAGCCTCCCGCGCCTGAAATTGGGTCGGGTTGGGCCTTATAAGTTGCCTTTTAGGCGCAAACCGAGAGGCTAAGGCCAGCCATGCCCTTTCGTGAGGAGTCGGGATCCTCCGCCTTTGGCGGAGAATCAGCTTCTGACTTGCCTGTCACGGGGCCGTGGGATCTGAGGCTGAGCCTGGAGGGCAGGGTCCCCTGTGTGGACGGCGTCTCTGCCTGGAGCTCTGCCTGTCGGCTCCTGCGTTAGCTGAAGCCTTGCTGTGAAGTCACAGCAACAATTGTCCCCGGGGCCTTGCTGTCACCCCTGCCCTGGGTTCTCAGTTTTATCCCATGAAAATGTCCCAAAGCCAGTTCTCCTCCATCTCCCACCACGTCTGTCGTTTGCACCAAGAACAAGGCGTACCCAGATTTGGAGGGCCCAGCAGCGGCCCCCGGCCCCGTCACCCTCTCCTCTCCAGGGCCCCTGTCACAAGCAAGTTGCTCCCCTGTTGCTCCCCACCTAGGGCTCAGGGCACCAAGTGCATCCCCCAGGCTCTCAGAGCCGGAGCTTCCCATGCTCCCGGCTGCTCTCTTAAATTATTTTCTCCAGGGTCCTAAAGTCATTGGAGCCCTAGATCTCTGCTGAGCCCCGTACTCGGCCTGTCTGTGGGAGGCGTTCCGGCACAATGACCCCGGAAGCCGCCCTGTTTGCTTTTGTGGTGTGGTGCTAAACGTGCTCTCCCTGGGAGCTGTCCATCACTTGGTCCCCTGTTCCCATCCGGCAGCCGGCCCCATCCCCAGGCCTGGGCTGTGTGAACCCCAGGATCGAACCCCCTCCTCAGCCTCCTCACGGAGCCTGTTCTGATCTGCACTGTGGCCGTTGTTCACAGGAAATGTCTTCAAAGAAAACCTTCCCCGTTTTCTACATTGACCTTGAGATGTTTTCCTGTTAAAACGTCACCTTGTGCTGGGGCCAGCCGTCCTCCAGGTCCGAGCCATGTGCCCCTGCTCATGGCGGGAGTGGGGCTGAGCAGGCAATGGGGACAGAGCTGAAACTTCTGCCCCAGCCTGGCCGGTCCCGAGCGGGGCTGGGGGGCTGCCTCGCAGGCACTGACCTGCTTCTGGCTGTGCTGCTGGTCCTTGCCCGTGCGGGTTTCTTCAGGGCCACGGGGTGTGTCCCCCTCTCTGGCACAGGTGTCTGAAGCGGGCTGCCTGCTCCATGCTGGGGCAGGCGGGGTGGCCCCAGGGTGGATATCTGAACCTTTGCTGTTATATTGTGGTGACCTGGGCCAATGCTGAGCTGTGGATTTTATTTTTTTTAATTTAATTTTATTTGTTTTAGCTTTATGGGCAGCAGCCGTTTCTTCCTTCCGCCGGCTCTGCTTCCATTCCTGAAGTCTCAGGCTCTCCCCGGGTGTCAGGTCTGAGGCCCTGAGCCATCCAGGGAATGGAGCTGGGGGCCCTCCTGTTCTCCCTCTAGTTTTTCCCATAACTTTTCCAGTGTAACAGGTTCCCCTCCGTCGGGGAGGCACAGCAGAGCAACTGCATCTTGGTTCTCTGCCAACCATGTGGTTCTGCTCCCCTCCCCTAAGCCCCCGCCCCCGGGATGGTCAGGGTCCCACCCTGGGCCTCTCTCTGAGCCTCCGTCTGTTCCGGGACGGACTCCTGTCCCCTCCAGTCCCCTTCTGCCCCTTCCTGCCCCCACGGCCGCTTTGCCTGCCCAGGGCCTGAGTGCAGCCTGGGGAGGGGGCTGCCTTCAGGTGTGGGGTCCGAGCCCCCGGCACACGCTGTGTTCCGTCGCAGGCTCCGCGCATGGGCACCTTCATTGGCGTCTACCTGCCGTGCCTGCAGAACATCCTGGGCGTCATCCTCTTCCTGCGCCTGACGTGGATCGTGGGGGTGGCTGGTGTCCTGGAGTCCTTCCTCATCGTGGCCATGTGCTGCACCTGCGTGAGTCTCCCCGGCCAGTGTGGCTGTGCCTTCAGGCGGGGGCAGCCGGACAGTAGGGCCCTCCCCAGACACCCGTGTAGAGGTTGTTCAGCACCGTCCCCTCCACGAGAGCTGGGGCAGCTGCGGGGATGAGACACCGCACTGGCCGGGGTTAGCGCTGGCGTGTTGATTGGCGCTGGCACCTCATTTACCCGTGTCTGCGGAAAGGCATCTCGGCCGGTGGTGGGTGTTGTGGGGTGGCCTCAGGGGGCTGAGGCTTCCAAGGGAAGGGACACCCTGTGTTTTGACGACATCACCTCCAGTTTGGAAGGACCTTGGGTACTTTCAGGTGTCCTTGTCATAGGGAAAGGGGTGGGAACCAGGACACTGCATGCCTGGTGCCCGGGAGCCTCCGGGTCCTAGTTTCCCAGCCACTCCATTGAAATGGAGAGCCCTGGAGCCGGGGGCTGACTTTCGGCGGGAGCCAGGCCATAGACCGCGCCTTGGGAGTGTTGCGATGCCGGCAGGCTCTTGGAAAGCTCTCCTCAGATGGCCGCCTGTCTTTCTGCAGACAATGCTGACCGCCATTTCCATGAGTGCGATCGCTACCAACGGCGTGGTGCCAGGTAAGGGGTGCCTGAGTCCTGTTAGAGGAGTCTGTGTGTTTCCGCACGGTAACTGGGAGGAGGCCGCTCCGCGAGGCAGGGCCAGGGGCTGCCTGGGGGTCACTGCCAGGCCTTCTGCGTGTTCTCCACTGGCTCCTCTGGCGTTTGAGCTGTGAGGTCACGGCTGTTTGGTTTTCTTCCCCATTTTGCTGCATGGTGACCGTCTCTTGCCAGGGTAGGCAGTGCTCACCGGGCAGCGGGCTTGGGAGGGGGAGGCACGGGCGATTCCAGTGATGCCTGTAGCCTGGCATGTGCCATAGGCTGAGTTCTTGGAACCTGTATCTCACGAGGGAAGGTGAAGACAAAACGCTGCCCTGACCTTGTTAATTACTAATAAATTAATTACAATATGTAATAACTAGTGAACTGAGATGTTAATTAGTAATAAATTAATTACAATACGTAATAACTAGTGAACTGAGATGATGTTCATCAGCAATAAATTAATTACAATACGTAACAACTAGTGAACTGAGATGTTAATTAGTAATAAATTAATTACAATACGTAATAACTAGTGAACTGAGATGATGTTCGTTAGCAATAAATTAATTACAATACGTAACAACTAGTGAACTGAGATGATGTTCATTAGCAATAAATTAATTATAATACGTAATAACTAGTGAACTGAGATGATAATTAGCATTAAGTTAATTATAGTACGTAATAACTGGTGAGCTGAGATGATACTGTTAGTAATTAATTACGTAAATAGCTAGTGAACTGAGATGATGTTAATTAGTAATAAATTAATTGCAATACGTAATAACTGGTGAACCGAGATGATATTGTTAATTAGTAATAAATTGCAACACGAAATAACTAGTGAACTGAGATGATGCCACGTCTGCTCCCTAGTGCACGTGTCCTGCGTGTGTTAACGGCCGGGCTTGCTCAGCACCAGGTCGTCACGCAGCTGGCCCCCCCCCCCACAGGAGCATTGCGTGGTGCTCAGTGGACTTCCCCGGCCGCAGGAGAGCACGAGGGCCCTCACCGGGGGTCTCCCTCAGCAGCCAGGGGACCAGTCTCTGCTTCTCGATGACTGCATCCGTTAGGGCCCCTTCCTCATGGCCACATGCACTGCTCAGAGCAGGGAGAGCCGCGTTCTCCAGGCAACCCTGGGGTCGCTCCCAGCTTTCCCGTCAGCTATCGCATGCGTGGTTCACAGTCTACTAGAGAACTCCTGAACATCCTGGTTTCTCTTTTGCCTTTTTTATAAGCAAAACGTAGTGGAAGTGGGGGCTGGGGCTGCCATTGATGTACGCAGGCCTTTTTCCCGGACCTGCTGGGGCCTCCTGCCCCGACCTCACCTGGTCCTCATGTCCACGAGGGCACGGTCGGTGTGGAATGAGTGCTGAGCCTCGGGAGGGGAGCGTTTACCGTGGCAGCCGGACGTCTTCATGTGCTGCTTTGCGGTGGGCGAACACGCTGCCTTCGCAGAGACGGGCCCTCCTTCACTCATGAGCGACAGTGCAGACCGCACCTCAAGTCTGCGTCCAAGCACGCCCCTGACCCGCGGCCGCCGCCTGTGTCTCCACAGCTGGCGGCTCCTACTACATGATATCGCGCTCACTGGGACCCGAGTTCGGAGGCGCTGTCGGCCTCTGCTTCTACCTGGGCACGACGTTCGCAGGGGCCATGTATATTCTGGGGACCATCGAGATCCTTCTGGTGAGCATGCTGCTTTGGAGCGTTCCCCACCCCACAGTCTGCGGCAGGACGCCAAGGGGCCCTGCCTGACCCGCTCTGTGGCACACACAGCACACGGAGCCCTCCCGACCCCACTGCCCTGACTGCCCCTGGGCTCTCCCTGGCGGAAGCCGTCGGCAGCGTCCACTCTGCAGCGACCTGGTTCCCCCGTGAGCACCATTGCCGCCCTCCGCGAGGGGTGCCTGGCATGAGCTGGGTAGACGTCTGGGCTGTAGATCTGAGCCCCGCGTGGGTGCGGCCCTGCAGTCTGAGCTGTTTTGGGGCAGGGTTGGAACTCGGCTTAGAAGAACCTCTTGCCAGGATCCCAGCCCCTTCCCTGCCTGATTGATTTGGGCACTTGGCCGAGGGTTACGGAGCCCAGCAGTGTATGGCCAGGTGATGTCATCACCTTCCCAAAACAGGCTCAAAGCACGCCCCACATCACCTGAGCACAGCTAAGAGCTGTGGCCTGAGTTCCTTGGTCCCCGTGGGGACAGGAACCGCCCTCTCTGGCTGCTGAGCACCACCCTTCCTGTGAGCTTCTGAAACCCACCGTCCCCACAGGGCTTCAGAGATGCCCACCTGAGCCCCCGTCCCCAATCTTTCTGCCCCTCCCTCTGCTGCCAGACCTGGTTCCCGGCCTCCTGGGCTCTTGCAGAGAGCCACATGGCCGAGAAGTTTCTGAAACCTTTCAGTGGGGTCGCATCCACCTCTGTCCCACCCTGAGTCCCCTGGCCATGCTCCTCGGTCTTTCCTGCCCCGGGTGCCATGGCTGCAAAGACACTGTGGCTGCCGCACTCCCCGGACTGCCTTTGGTGGGGATGAGTGCCGTGTCCTCCGTGCCTACTGTACCCCAGTCCTGTCCCGGTCTTGAGGGAGCTGAGCAGCACCGTCTCGCATCTCCGTCCCTTGAATTTGGGCAGAACAGAGGTTGCACCCAGCCGGCGTGGTCAGACCCAGTGTTTGTCCAGGACGTCCAGCCGGGATGGGCCGAGCTCTCTGGGCTGTCACGTTCCTCTTAGCAGGTGTTTCTTTTGAGTGTGGACGTGCGGCCGCCCCGGGTCCTGAAGTTGCTTTACTCTCAGGTGCCCGGGTGGCTCCTGGGAAACGTGCAAGCCCCTGGCCGTCCATTGCCCGTGCGCTGACCCCGCGGGCTCCGTCCAGCACGGATGCCTCCCGATGGCCCCAGCGCCTGTTGGGAGGAGGCCCCTGTGTGGCGCTTGCAGGAGGAAGGGGCGCTGGGGAGTTCTGTCCGGGGACGGCCTCCCAACCCGTCTTGTCCCTGCAGACATACATCTCCCCGGGTGCGGCCATCTTCCAGGCAGAGGCTGCGGGTGGCGAGGCGGCCGCCATGCTGCACAACATGCGTGTGTATGGCACGTGCACGCTGGTGCTCATGGCCCTGGTGGTCTTCGTGGGCGTCAAGTACGTCAACAAGCTGGCGCTGGTCTTCCTGGCCTGCGTCGTGCTGTCCATCCTGGCCATCTACGCCGGTGTCATCAAGTCTGCCTTCGACCCCCCGGACATCCCGTAAGTCTCGGGGCCTCTGAGCCGTGGGTGGTGTGTAGGGCTGGGGCCAGGTCCCATGGGCTCTGCCCGCCTCTGGTCCGTCATCCTTGACACTGAGCTCCCCGCGAGGGGCGGGACTGGGTGTGACCACGGCAGGAACCCCTGTGGGCTTGTTCTGAGGATTATGGGAAACCCAGCCGTGAGGCGGGCCAAGGCATCCTCGTGGCCGGGTCTGAGTGTGAAGACCCTCCTCAGTGGCAGGTTTCAGGGATGGCCGGCGGCCTGAGCACGGTCAGGTGGCACCGAGGGTCGTGGGCTCCCTTCTCCCTCCCAGAGGTGCTTGGAGAGTCTCTTTTCTTGTCCTCTTGGAGGAGAAGCTGGGAGACGGCCCACGTCCTGGAACACGGGAGTGGCCACCAGAGCCCTCAGGAGCGGGTCCAGAAAAGGCCAGCAGCCAAGCCCCTCGAGGTTCCCAAGTTTTTGCCGTCTCCGTGTGGAGGGAGCCCCTGAAGGAATAGCCTCATAGAGGCCTCAAAACAGAGGGAGGCAGAGCAGCCGCAACCCTGCGAGCCTGTTTTAGGGAAACACAGCTCTGCCCTTCCCTGGGGCGCCCGTCCTGAGACCCCTTGCTGATGCCTGAAGCCGTGGCCCCGTGTAGACTGTTTTCTACACACAGGCCTGGTTTACACACCAGAGGCGGCACTCCTGTGCTCTTGGCCGTTGGGACGTGGCAGGAGGGTGGCTTGGACTCAGGCACTGAGATTGTGACAGCCGACCCGGCCAGGACACCGCTGAGGGCCTCAGGCAGGAGCGACTGCAGCGTGGCTGTGTCGGCACGGGGGGTTTGCGGGGTTCCACCTCACTGGTTTCTACTGCGCAGTGGAAAACGTGTGAATTGTTTATGTCTAGAACACTTCAGTTAAGCATGTTTGGACCATGGGTGGCCGAACCATGGATGAGGGGACGGCTGTACGGTACAGCATTCCTGCTGCAGCCTGGCCCGGTCCCAGGTCCCTGGTCCCCGGCATGATCCGTGACCCTTGCGTTCCTGCTGCAGCCTGGCTCGGGCCCAGTTCCCGGCGTGATCTGTGGCCTTCCTGTCTTGGGAGGTGCAGGGTGCCAGGAGCCACTCGCGGGTGACACCACGGGTGCCCATTGGAGGAGCCGGGTGGGGCAGTAAAAGCCACTTCGGCAGCAGCACACGGCCGTGCCTCCCTGTCCCGCCCTAGGGTCTGCCTCCTGGGGAACCGCACGCTGTCTCGGCGCAGCTTTGATGCCTGCGTCAAGGCCTACGTCACCGACAACAACTCGGCCGCCTCTGCACTCTGGGGTCTCTTCTGCAACGGCTCCCAGCCCAGCGCCACGTGTGACGAGTACTTCATCCAGAACAATGTCACCGAAATCCAGGGCATCCCGGGCGCGGCCAGCGGCGTCTTCCTGGGTGAGGCCCGCAGGGCTGCAGCAGGGGCTGGGGGTGGCGGCGGCCGGCGCTGGCCCCGGTGGACACTGTCACCGTAGAGTCGCTCTCAGGGCCCCAGTTCCTCCTGCCTGGCCGAGCCCCTCCCCAGCTGTTGCTGACGAGCCTGGGGGTCCCTGTGCACACCCCTGGCAGAGCCACAGAAGCCAAACATAGCGTGGCGGGGAGATGGCCTCTGTCGTGGTCAGCAAGCTGGTCTTAAAGCCATGGATTTACGTCCACGACCACCTGGCAGTGTGTGTGGGGAACTTGCTGTGTTAGTGAGGGAGCGGTGGCTGGGCGGTGACACCCCCTCTGTGCGTCCTTCCCTGAGGAGAGGCTGCCCTGGACCCGCCCCAGGGGCTTGAGGGAAAGGACCCCTGGCAGGGTACACGAGACCTGCTCCAGAACCCGAGACGGGAGGCCCAGGCTTCCCAGGAGTATGTTGTTCCGCACTGAGGCTTCTCTTTAGTGCTGACCTTCCTTCCGTAGATGCAGACAGGTAGCTTTCCCAGAGGTACCGTCTCAAAAAACTTGTTTGAATTGGAGCCTGCTTGCAGCGCACAAGCTGTGACCCTTCCCCTCCGGCCACCAGTGGGACCTGCCAGGGAGTGGCCTGCCCCGTGGTGTGGGCGCTGGACGGAAGGTGCCAGAAACCTATGGGATCTTCCTTGTCTGGCAGAGAACCTGTGGAGTACGTACGCGCACGCAGGGGCGTTTGTGGAGAAGAAAGGTGTGCCCTCGGTGCCTGTGGCAGAGGAGAGCCGCGCCAGCACGCTGCCCTACGTGCTCACCGACATTGCGGCCTCCTTTACCCTCCTGGTTGGCATCTACTTCCCCTCCGTGACCGGTGAGCCTGCCGCTCCAGCCGTCTCCTTCTCTTTCTTTCTCTCCCTCTCTTTTTCGCTCTGTCACCCAGGCTGGAGGGCAGTGGCGTGATCATGGCTCTCTGCAGCCTCGACCTCCTAGACACAAACATTCCTCCCACCTGAGTCTCCCAAGCAGCCAGGACCCCAGGCACACGGCACCACACCCGGCTAATGTCTGTATTTTTTGTAGAGGGGGAGCAGCTGGGACCCCAGGCACACGACACCACGTTCAGCAAATGTCTGTATTTTTTGTAGAGGGGGGTCTCCCCACATTGCTCAGGCTGGTCTCAAACTCCTGAGCTCAAGCCATCCTACTCCTCCCAAAGTGCTGGGATTACAGGCATCTTGAGTCACCGCGCCCGGCCTCTCTCCATCTTTCCCTTCTTCTGTCTCTCTGTCCATCTCTCTGTCTCTGTCATTCTGCCCTCCTGTCTCTCTCTCTCTCTCTCTCCTCCTCCCCCTTTCCCTCTCTCTCTCTGTCTGCCTCTCTCTGTGTCTCTCTGTCCCTCCCTCCCTCTCTCTCTGTCTCTGTGTCTCTCTCTGCGTCTCCCTCTCCCTCCCCCATCTCTCTCTGTCTCTCTCTTTCTCTCTCTGTCTCTCTGTGTCTCCCTCTCCCTCCCCCATCTCTGTCTCTCTCTTTCTCTCTCTCTCTCTCTCTTTCTCTCTCTCTCTCTCTCTGCGTCTCCCTCTCCCTCCCCCATCTCTGTCTCTCTCTTTCTCTCTCTCTCTCTCTCTGCGTCTCCCTCTCCCTCCCCCATCTCTCTCTGTCTCTCTCTTTCTCTCTCTGTCTCTCTCTGTGTCTCCCTCTCCCTCCCCCATCTCTCTCTCTCTGTCTCTCTGTGTCTCTCTCTCTGTGTCTCTCTCTGTCTCTCTCTCTCGTGTGTTTCTTCCTGTCCCTGCTTATCTTGCCTGTTTGGTTCAGGGGAAGCGGCTGAGGTCTCCGCTCTGTGTCCTGATGGATTCGCAAGACGCCTGTCTGCCGCTCTCCTGGGCAGGCCTGTGTCAGGAGAGGCTGTTGTAGGGTTGCTGAGAGTACATGGCACAATATTAGCAGACGCCTAGGAGTGGCCTCGTGTGAGCTCAGAGGCCGGGGACCTCGGCCCTCTGTGTCCTCCTCAGACAGTGGGCCTTGTTCTGACCGGGGTTGGGGCCCTTGGTTGTTCCCCAAGGGGTGGGGCTGGGCCCCATGCTCCCCCCGTCACACGCACACGCCCCCGGCTGTCTCCACTCGGCCTTCCTGTCGGGATGCCCCTGACTGGCGCTGGCTGCTTGTGTGGCCTGGGCTGCCCTTCCGGTCCCTCCCATGTCTGCTCCTGGACTTTATCTCAGCGCATCTCAAAGCCCTGGAGCCCAGGGTCAGCCACAGGGCCTGGCCCAGCGCTGGCGTCTCGTGTTTACCTCGCCACCCCTGAAGGTGGGCCCGTCTCACCGTGGAGGGGGCGATCAGCCCGGGGACCTCTCCGTGTGCTTCCGCTCCAGCCTACCCCGTCCGTCTGCTCTCAGCGCCGTGGGTGGAGGGCGTGGGGCAGAGCCTCTGCGTGGCTCCGGGTGTCTCTATGCTCTACCGCACCGGATTGTGCGCTCTGCCGCCTTCCAGGCCACCCTGAGCACAGGCGCTTCAGGCTGTGCCTTGGATGGGACTGAGCCAGGCGTCAAGTGGCCGCCACCGACCCGGCTTCCCGGAGCTCTGTGGAAGCCGATTGTGTGGAAATGCCCGCGGCCGTGGCTCCCTAGAGGAAGGTGGTGCCCACGTGGCACTGCAGCAGGAGGGGTCACAGCGTCTGCCCGCCCGGCTGGCTGGGCTCTGAGTCGTTCTGGGGTCTCATTCCGAAAGTGCTTAGGTCCTGGGGGGCCTGTGAGCCATTGCTCAGCAGCGTCCCTGGGCTGGCCCTTGGTCGTGGGATTAACGCAGGCTCCAGAGGAGCCCTGGGTGTGGGGGGCGTGGGGTCAGTGTTGGGGTCAGGCCTTGTCCTCGGTCCAGGAGAGAGGTAAACGTGCCTGGGCCTGCGTCCCCCCAGCCGTGGTCCTGCAGCGTGGGCCGGTGGAGCTTGGACTGCAGCCTCGGGAGCGGCTCACCCTCGGGGTCTCCCCAGAGACCACCTTTCCGGCTCTCTGGGCAGGGGCCGCCGTCACATGGCACTGACTCCTCAGATGGGTCTTGGCAGCATTTTCCATGTTCGCAGGTATCATGGCGGGTTCAAACCGGTCCGGGGACCTCAAGGATGCGCAGAAGTCCATCCCCACGGGGACCATCCTGGCCATAGTGACCACGTCTTTCATCTGTATCCTTGGAGGGGTGCAGGCAAGGGAGGTGCGGGTTCCAGCCTCTGCCTGGGGGGAGGCCCCCATGCCCTCCCCGGCTCAGCGCTGCGCCCTCGGCCACTGGCGTGTGACTTCCCGGGTGAGGCCGGGCTCTGACCACGTCATCCTCCCTGGGAGACGGGGCTGGGGCTGCTGTCAGGACCCCGGCTTCTTCGCCACTGTGTGATGCCATCGTAGATAAAACAGAAGCAGTCACCCTGCTGCCTGTGGACAGTGACACGCAGCTGTGTGTGGTGTGTGCCATCGGCAGGCTGGGCCCCTGGGGCCTCTGGCTTCTCAATCCCAAGGCTGCCTCTTTCCAGCCGAGCATCGTCCCCTCAGCAAGGTCCCCTGCCGATCCCTGGCGGTCAAGCACCAGGCCAGGTGTGTCTCCACCACCCCAGGGCCCTGTTCTGTGATGCTGGACAGAGCCCCGGGAGGGTGCGCTGAGGACGCGGGGGACAGGATGTGCCCGGGATGGGACGGGGTGCAGAATGGTCCCTGCCCAACTGGAGCCAGCGCATCCCCCCTCCTACCCCACCCCCCGTACCCGAGGACACCCACCTACCCCACCCCCCGTACCCGAGGACACCCACCTACCCCACCCCCCGTACCCGAGGACACCCACCTACCCCACCCCCCGTACCTGGAGCCTGGGGCCAGCGCGTCTTCCCTCCTACCCCACCCCCCCGTACCTGAGGACACCCACCTACCCCACCCCCGTACCCGAGGACACCCACCTACCCCACCCCCGTACCCGAGGACACCCACCTACCCCACCCCCCGTACCCGAGGACACCCACCTACCCCACCCCGCGTACCCGAGGACACCCACCTACCCCACCCCCCGTACCTGGAACCTGGGGCCAGCGCGTCTTCCCTCCTACCCCACCCCCCGTACCCGAGGACACCCACCTACCCCACCCCCGTACCTGAGGACACCCACCTACCCCACCCCCCGTACCCGAGGACACCCACCTACCCCACCCCCCGTACCTGGAACCTGGGGCCAGCGCGTCTTCCCTCCTACCCCACCCCCGTACCCGAGGACACCCACCTACCCCACCCCCGTACCTGAGGACACCCACCTACCCACCCCCCGTACCCGAGGACACCCACCTACCCCACCCCCCATACCCGAGGACACCCACCTACCCCACCCCCGTACCCGAGGACGCCCACCTACCCCACCCCCCGTACCCGAGGACACCCACCTACCCCACCCCCGTACCCGAGGACACCCACCTACCCCACCCCCCGTACCCGAGGACACCCACCTACCCCATCCCCGTACCTGAGGACACCCTCCTACCCCACCCCCTGTACCTGGAGCCTGGGGCCAGCGCGTCTCCCCTCCTACCCCACCCCCCGTACCTGAGGACACCCACCTACCCCACCCCCCGTACCCGAGGACACCCACCTACCCCATCCCCGTACCTGAGGACACCCTCCTACCCCACCCCCCGTACCTGGAGCCTGGGGCCAGCGCGTCTTCCCTCCTACCCCACCCCCCGTACCTGAGGACCCTGCACCCGCAGACCCGCCTTTCCTTGACGAGAGCTGTAGATCTCTCCTGCATTGTGCTGTTTGGGGCCTGCATCGAAGGTGTGGTCTTACGAGATAAGTACGTTTCCATCTGCAGTTTTCGTGCAAAGCCTGTCGTCTTCATGGGTTTTCCTGAGGACGAGTTCGACTTTGAAATCACATCGCCCTAGGACTTCATGTCCGTGTACAGAGCTGACGCCTCCTGGTCCCAGGGTTGGGATCCCCTTGGTCTGACGTGTGTCTCTTCCACTGGAGCCTAGAGCCTGGGGAACCGTTCAGAGCCGCCTCCAAGCGCTGATGCAGCTGGGGGCACAGGCCCTTCCTGGGGAGGCCACAGGGGTGCGGACGGGTGAGGCTTGGCCCTGGGAGAGCCCCCAGCCCTGCTGCCAAGTGGAGAAGTAGTGGGGTCCCAGGCAGGTCGTCGCTGACCTGCATCCTCATGGGATGTGCCTGTCTGGCAGCCCCGGGGATCCTGGGTGGTCCCCGACTGAAGCTGATGCCAGGCTGGGTCTTCCCTGCTCCCAAGAGCGACCCTGAGGTGAGCAGGACCCGCTCCCCCACTGAAGACCCTCCAGAGCATTCCGGCCGGGCAGAGCCTGGTGGAGGTTTCAGCCAACGGGGGCTGGAGGTCAGGCCTCAGCTTTCCAAGGAGCCGCTCCCACCACACCGGGCCCCTCGGTGGGAGAAGACGTTTTGTCTGATTTAGGCACATTTCTGAAAACCGCCCGCCCGCCCGCAGGTTCGGGGAGGCCCTGCAGGGGAACCTGGTCATCGGCATGCTGGCCTGGCCCTCCCCCTGGGTCATCGTCATCGGCTCCTTCTTCTCCACCTGCGGCGCCGGCCTGCAGAGCCTCACGGGGGCACCGCGCCTGCTGCAGGCCATTGCCCGTGATGGCATCATCCCCTTCCTGCGGGTGAGCCCTGCGTCCTCGGGGAGGGGACCCTGGAAGGTCAGGGTCGGGCTCTGTTCCCCTGCGGGATCCTCACAGTGCCGTGTGTGGGGCACATGCCTGCAGCTTGGACCCCGTGGTGGTCGTTCTGCCCCGGCCGTTGCTCTGAGCATGGGAGTGGTGGGTGGTGAGTGGTGGGCAGAGGCAGCTCCAGCCCTCCTGCCTGCAGGTCCCTCCAAGCGCAGCCCGGGTGTGTCAGGAGCGGCTGTGAGGGCCCACGGCCTCGGGTCCAGAGGTGCCTGGTCTGTTGTCTGGCCAGAAGCCCCCTGCCTGCCTGCCAGTCCTTTCTCTGTGTGGCTGAGCTCTTCAGCCCGTGGGAGGTGGCGTCACCAGCCTGCAGCCAGAGTGTGTGGCTGTTCTGAGGATGGCACAGACGCCCGCATTGGGTCCTGTCCGTGTGCTGTGCCCAGAGCTGCCGATTGTGGCTCCTCCTGCCACTCGGGCCCAGGGGAGCTGTGGGAAGGTTGTGGATGGCAGAGCCGTCCTCGCCCATCGCCGGTCCCTCAGCAGGGTGCCGACCCATAGGGCCTTTGTGTGGTTGCATCTTGTCAGTCCCAGCCAGGCCTAGGGCCTGGTGTCCGGGAAGGGGACGGGCACACAGACCTGCATCTTGTCAGTCCCAGCCGGGCCTAGGGCCTGGTGTCCGGGAAGGGGACGGGCACACAGACCCCGTGGGCCTCAGCTTCTGGGAGGTGAGGGCGGCCTGAGGGTGAGAAAGGTCACCACAGGGTCTGGGGAACCGTGAGTGCCCTGGAGACACTGGTCCTGTGTTGTGTGGTCGGGGAAACTGAGGCAGGTGGGGGGCGGGCTGAGGCCACACAGGTTGCAGGCAAGCCCGGTGTAGACACAGCTCTGAAGCCTCCTGGGCTGCAGTCCTTTGTCAGGGCCTCTTCCCAGGCCAGCCGGGTGACGTCCCGGGGACCTACTGTGAAAGGCGGTGTCTGCTGGTCTTTGCCTTTAAGACTCATCTGGGCTGGACCTGACCAGACTGCAGCTTCTCTCCTAAAAGGGTGGTGTTATCTGCCCCATGTTCCTGCCCTTGTCCCTGCAGGTGTTTGGCCACGGGAAGGCCAACGGGGAGCCCACGTGGGCGTTGTTGCTGACGGTCCTCATCTGTGAGACTGGCATCCTTATTGCCTCCCTGGACAGCGTGGCCCCGATCCTCTCCATGTGAGCCCCCGCAGGACGGGGACCTGGGGTTGGGTGTATGGGCCTGGAGCATGGGGCAGTGTGGACGGGAGGCCCTGCTCAGGACAATCAGTAAACAGGCAGGGCCAGCCGTGGGCAGTCAGGATCCTGCCGGGAAGGGAGTTGGGCCGGGGAAGGCAGGTGCACAGGCCTCCAGGCAGGCGCCGGCCAGGGTCTGCCCGGGACAGTGTGGCTGAACAAATGGCTGCTGGGGAAGGGACAATGGCCCATCTCTTGATGGACCAGGCGGCCACAGGATGACTGGGGCCTGAGGGGGCCTGATTCGGAGTCAGTCTGAGTCAGCTTATGTACAGAGACACGGGGAGACAAGACGCAGGTGGGAGGGACAGTGATGACAAGGGTGGTCTCCCAGGTTGCAGTGACTGGGGGCTTGGAGGGGCCCAGCCGGTGCGTGTCAGTGTCTGGTCATCCCTGCAGGTTCTTCCTCATGTGCTACCTGTTCGTGAACCTGGCCTGCGCCGTGCAGACCCTGCTACGTACCCCCAACTGGCGTCCACGCTTCAAGTTCTACCACTGGTGAGGCCGCTCAGCACAGGCGTCAGGAGCCCTGCAGGCTGGGACACTGGGTGCCTCTGCCACTGGGGAGGCCGCTCAGCACGGGCGTCAGGGGCCCTGCAGGCTGGGACACCGGGTGTCTCTGCAAGGCCAGCTGCCCTGGGCCTGAAGACCCCAGGCGGGTCCTTGACTGTTCCTTTGCGGAGTAAGCCCCTGGGCAGCTGATGAGACTGTGGCCTCTCTTTGCCTCTGCACCTGAGGAAGGCCTCTAGTTACGAGGATGCCCAGGTGTCTGTGTGCCGCCTTGTACCTCCTGTGGTCAGCCGGCCCTCCCAGACTTGGGGCGTATTCCATCAGGGCTGTGGGTCTTCTTAACTCCCCTCCTCGGGAATCAGGCGCTGGGTGGATGCTGCAGCCATGGTGTTGCGTGCACAGCCGAGGTGCTGTGTGCACGCTGGGAGCTGGAGCTGTGTACTGGGTCTTGGAGTAGCGTCTCCCACAGGGGCCCAGGGAGCCACGTCACCCCTCAGAGGTGGTTGGGTGCAGGCATGGTCGTCAGGCATCAGTGACTGTTTTCCTGATGTTAACAGAGAGTTTCACTGAGGGAGGGGCAGTGTCCGTGTGGCATTGGGCCACCCCTGAGCCACTTGTCCCGCCCCCAGGACCCTGTCCTTCCTGGGCATGAGCCTGTGCCTGGCACTGATGTTCATCTGCTCCTGGTACTATGCACTCTCCGCCATGCTCATCGCTGGCTGCATCTACAAGTACATCGAGTACCGCGGGTAAGCACCGTTAGTCCCCCTCACGGACCCGGTGCACAGGATTGCGGGCCCCTCTCACACTATGCCCAGGGCAGCTCCCTAGAGGGGCCTCCCTGGGGCCCGAATGTTGTGTGCCGTCCTGGGAGCAGCTGGGAGCACATGCAGGTGGGCTGTGCTGTGAAAGCCAGGGTTTCTCTCCTGCCCCTAGCCAGGCCAAGGTGCCTGTACTCGTGGACAGTGTCTCCAGCCTGGAGCTCTTGTCTCGTGCCGTCCTCAGCAGGCGGTGAGCCCATGGCTGACTATTCCTGCTACATGTCTCGCGAGGTGTCCCCAGGTTGTGCCTGTATTCACTTGGCAGCCACGGATGTCCTTCCCCGTGCCCCAGCGCCCACCCTCCCTCCCCTTGCACCCGCCTCCTTCCCAGGGTCCAGCCACTTCCCTGTCACAGGCCTTCTGCTCCCCACCCTGCGAGGAAGGCGCCTCACGCATGCTGGACGTAGACCTCATTTGCTCCATAGCCACGGCACCCTCTGACCCCGTGGCTCCTGGGACGGGCTCCCTTGAGGGCAGGGGTGGGCACGGAGGCCTCCCTCCTTATCCAGGGACTTTTTCCGAGGGTCCTGTTTGCCCTGACTCACCTGCCCCCAGAAGTCCCCTCTTTCCCAGATGGGCTGAACAAGCCCCCACTTCCTTTCCCGCAGTGCCGAGAAGGAGTGGGGCGACGGCATCCGCGGCCTGTCCCTGAACGCTGCCCGCTATGCCCTGCTGCGTGTGGAGCACGGGCCTCCCCACACCAAGAACTGGAGGTGAGCACTGCCCGTGCCCCGTGTTCCTCAGATGCACAGAAGAGCCGTTTCTGAGGTTGGCCTTTGAGTGGGGACCTTGGAGTCTCAGGGGCGTCTTACCTTCAGCCGCTTGGGCACGGTCTGGGGTGTGAACACTGCCTGGTGCAGAGCGAACTGCACAGCTGGGGGCCTTGGAGCAGCGGGGGTGTCCCTGCTGCAGGGCGGGGGTGTGGGGAGCCGGCCCCTCTGCCGGCACAGCCCTGGGCTTGGGGTGGGAGAGGGTGGCTCCTGCTGAAGCACAGGCCATCTGTAGGAAGCCTCTGCCCCTCAGGGTCTCAGCGGGGGCCTCAGGCCTGTGCCCTGGGCCAGTGTCCCCTCAGGGTCTTGGCAGGGGCATCCGGCATGTGTCCTGGGCCATTGTCTCACCTGTCCAGCATGTCACCTGTCCCACCTGTCTAACCTGCCTGTTCACCTGTCCTGCCTGGCTAGTGCCCACCTGTCCATCGGCCCTGCCTGTCCCACCTGGCTTGTGTGGCCTGTCTCACCTGTCACTTGTTCAACTTACCCCACCTGTGTCATGTGTCTCCCCATCCCATCTGTGTCACCTGCCCCTTTTGTCACCTGTCCCGCCTGTCATGTGTCCCCCGTCCCACCTGTGTCACGTGCCCCAGCCGTCCCGCCTGCCCTGTTGATGGGCCGTGTGCGGGTGTGCGGGTGAGTGTTGCCGTGGTAACAGCCGCCCCACGCCCGCTGCAGGCCCCAGGTGCTGGTGATGCTGAACCTGGACGCAGAGCAGGCTGTGAAGCACCCCCGCCTGCTGTCCTTCACGTCTCAGCTGAAGGCCGGCAAGGGCCTGACCATCGTGGGCTCGGTGCTGGAGGGGACGTACCTGGACAAGCACACAGAGGCACAGCGGGCCGAGGAGGTGGGCAGGGCAGGGTCTGGGGGCCGGGCCCCTTTCCCACCTGGGCTGCACAGGAAACGCGCCCTGGTATGTCCTCATCGCGATGTGTCAACACGGTGCCGTGCATGGCGCTGCTGTGTTTCAGCCGTGGCCGTGGCTTTGAGCTCGGAGCAGTGTGCTGAGGCCTGGGAGTGCCAGCCGCACCCCGGGACGCTTGGGAGGTGCTGAGGGCCGTTAGCTTTCCAAGGGCGAACCCTGGGACCGCCTCCTCCCGCCGTGGGTGAGCCCCGTCCAGAGACGCAGTCATGGTTCTGCTGCAAGCTCAGTCTCCTCCGCTGTTCGAGCTCACTGGGGGCCGCGTCAGCGTGATGCCCATGTGCGGCCGAACTTCTGCCCACTCAGAGCTTTGTGGGGAGGGACGGGTGAGTGCCCTGCGCGTGTACCGTGCTGCTACAGTCGGCTCCCCCAGGACATCGGGGCCTGAGACTTCATGTCTTCATTTCTCTGATTTTCAAACTTCTTATGGGAAGCTTCTCCCTGTCCGGAAATGGAATTATGACACCGTCAAAGCCCGCGGGTCCCGTCACGCCACCTGGAGTTACTTCTGTATTTCTCGCTAAAGCGGGGAGTTTCTGAGCACCCACCTGCATGATTTTCATGCCTTGAGCCTCCTTCTTCCCCCTCGTGTCTGTGGGAGTCTGTGGAGCCTACACAAAGTGCCTGTTGTGGTGGTGTGTGTCCGAGGCCCCTCCCATGCAGTGCCCGTTCTGTCCTTGCTGTGGGTCGGGAGCCAGCTCCGTGCTGTCAGGCCCCCACTGGGGCCTTGTGGGTGTGTCCAGGCATCTGCAGGTGGCCCCCGCTGTCCATTTCTCTGCACAACCACAGCTGCACTGAGGCCCGTCCAGATCCAGGCCGGTCAGCCTAGGGGTGGGAACGCAGGCCGTGGGCGTGTGGACGGTGGCAGCCTCAGGTGGCGTGACCTAAGGCCAGGATCCGTGGAGGTAAAACATGGCCCCCGCCCCTCCCGCCACCTTGGCCACGTGGACGGCTGCCCTCTCAGGCTGCTCCACAGGGTTGCTTTTCCAGGGAAGACAGGAGATGCTCTGGGCCTTCCCTTTCCCTGACAGTGGCATCGTGGCTCACCACAGGTTCAGGCGTTAGCTGCTATTGACTGTGAACCTGTGGATTTAGGTATTGTGGTTTTCAGGGGCATGTTCACAGTCCTGGTCCCCGTATGTCCCTTTCCGTGTTGCTTATCCCGTGCTGGAATGCTCTTAGGAGGAATCCTGGAGTTGGAACTGCCCCGATGGTGTGGATTCTAAGAATCCTGGCACCACCTGACCTCCCTGGAGGTGTGTGAAGGCGCGTCTGTGCACACGAGGGACAGGGCCGGGATTGCAGTGACTGGGGGACAGGTCCGGGATTGCAGTGACTGGGGGGATGATGGGACGGCCTGCCACGCTCTGCCACAGTCATCACTGCCATGGGAAGAGCTGCCCTCACTTTCACTCTCACATCTAATGCAGCTCACAGCCAGATCCTCTCCGGCTGACAGCCCTTCGGCTGGGGGCTCTGGGGCAGCCTCAGACAGGAGCCCGCTCTCGCGATGGGAGACTGAGCCCACCCTGCCCCTGCTGCTCTCAGCGAGCCTTTGGCTGTGACTTAGCTGCATTAGTGGTGAGGGCTGGAGCCAGCTGCAGGCCCCGCCTTCCCTTGGCTGCCTCTGGGGTGCACTGCTCTGGGGAGCTGTGTTCTCCTGCACTGTGGCTATGTTAGTGTGAAATTAGAGAAATATGGGCAAATCTTTTTTTTTTTTAGTTTTTATTTATTTATGTTTTGAGGCAGAATCTCACCTGTTGCCCAGGCTGCAATCTGCAATGCAATGGTGCGATCTCAGCCCACTGCAACCTCCACATCCCGAGTTCAAGCAATTCTCTTGCCTCAGCCTTCCAAGTAGCTGGGATTACAGGTGCCCACCACCACGCCCGGCTCATTTTTGTACTTTTAGTAGAGATGGGGTTTCGCCACGGGGGCCAGGCTGGTCTCGAACTCCTGAGCTCAAGTGATTCATCTGCTTCGGCCTCCCACAGTGCTGGGATTACAGGTGTGAGCCACTGCGCCCGGCCTGAGCAAGTCTGTAAAGCATAGACTTTTCTCTAAGAAGCGTGCGGCTTCGTGACTCATGCAGTCGCCAGAGGCTCACGCACGCCCTTGTGCTCGGTTCTGTGTGGCACTGATTGGCACGAAAGGGGTCCTAAGGCGCTGGCGTTCTTGCTCCCCGCTTGTAAAGGGCCCACTGCCCTCCGGGTTGAGGTCTGTCTGCATGGGGGCCTCTGTGGCTGCCGCACCGGGCTGGTGCGGGGACTTGTAGTAACAGGGCCCCCTGACACAGTGCTGAGTTCCTGCCAGGCCAGGGCAGTGCCGCGTCCTCCTGAAACCCTGCAGTCCTGCAAGGTGGTTTTCCCAACGGTGAGGCCGGAGGAGAGGGGAGATCCCCAGCTCCGACTCCTCGGAGCCAGCACGTGGGGTGAACACAGCAGCCGGTCCTGTGGGAAGTGGCCCCCGTGACGTGGCTCCAGCACTTGGAGACCCTCAGGGCCCCTCCAGTGGCTGCGTCCAAACTTGGCTGATCCTGAACAGCGCTTTCCCTGGGCTCTGGTTTCCGGCCAGATGGGGGCCCAGGAACAGAGAGCCTGAATTGCCCTGCAGAGGGGTCTCGTGGGGATGAGAAGCAGCCGCATAAAGGGGCCGCTGTGCAGCCTTTGCTGAAACAGCCGTGCTTCCTGCCGTCTTCCCACGTGACCCCTGATGCGGGCGCTTCCCGGCGCCTTCCTGCCCAGGGGCCGCTGTGTCCACCCCACAGCCTCCGCCTCTAGCTGGTCTCTGCCTCGCTGGGGCCCCTGCCTCTGCTCGCTGGCTGGTGCCCCTTGGGGGTAACATGTTCAGGCCTTTCCTGACCTAAGCAAAAGTCTCAAAGAGGAGCATATCTGCTGGCCCTGCACCCTGTCCCGTCTTGCCCCAGGCAACTGGGCAGAAGGTGGAGGTGTCGAGAGCAGGGTGTGGGCGAGGGGTGCCCGAGGAGGAGCGGGGCTGTGGGAGAACATTGGGTGTTGTTTTGTGTATGGAGGGCTGGTGGAGCTCTAGGTGTGAGCCAGGGCAGGGGGTGAGGACACCAGTCAGGCTGACATAGGGGCCACTGGAATCTTGGCAAAGGATCCAGGTGGTGGCTCTGGTCTCTGAGTGGCCCAGGGCTGCCATGATGGGATAGAGACCACACGGCTCACAGCAAAGGGCGTCTGTTCTCTCCCAGTTCTGGAGCCCGGGAGTCTGAGATGAAGGAGACCACAGGCCACGCTGCCTCCAGAGTCTCCTGGGAGGATCCTCACGCCTCCTCCAGCTCCTGTGGCCCCAAGGCGACCCTGGGCGCCGGTCCCTCTGCCTCTGTCCACGCCTGCACGCAGCCGCCCCCTCCCAGTCTGAGAGCTCTTCCTGCCTTCATCCTGTAAGGTCATTTGTCAGTGGCCTCAGGGCCCAACTGTGACCCAGGATGCTCTCTCAAGATTATCACTTAATTACAAGGTTCTTCAATACATCCACAGAGACAGTTTTTTCAAATAAGCTCGCATTCTCAGGTTCCCGGGGCCGGGATGTGGGTATCCTCTTTTTGGGGGCCACCATTCAACCCACTGCAATTGTGCTCTGGGCCCTAAAATTCATATCTGATACACGTGTACAGTATGTTCACCCCATCCCAGCGTCTCCCAAAGTCTCAGCCCTGCACAGACCAGCTGAGTCCCAAGTCTCATGTAAATCTCATCGCTCAGAGCTCCCAAATCTCATCCTGTAAGCATCCAAACCAGAAGCCAGTGAAATGTGGGATCTGGTCCATCCTGGACAGAACTGCTCTGTCTGTAGATCTGTGCAAGCAAGGAAGTGGTTATCCCAGAACACAGCAGGGGACAGTCTGGGAGAGGCATGTTTGCTCCAAAAGGGAGAATCAGGCGGGAAGGGGCCACTGGTACCACACAAGGCTGAGACCCAGCAGGGCAGGCTCTGGGGTTCCAGGGCTTGAGGTTGCCCGAAGATCAGAGGGTGGAAGGCCTGTGTCCACACACGTGTGGCTTTAGTGTGTGGCAGGCCCTCGGCCACGCTTGTGCAGCCCCCCCATGGAGTCGAGCCACTCAGACACCCCCAGGAGGAGACTGCACACAGCAGTGACCCCCACCCCCCCCCGGGAGGAGACTGCACACAGCAGTGACCCCCCCACACCCCGGGAGGAGACTGCACACAGCAGTGACCCCCACCCCCCCCGGGAGGAGACTGCACACAGCAGTGACCCCCCCACACCCCCGGGAGGAGACTGCACACAGCAGTGACCCCCCCCACACCCCGGGAGGAGACTGCACACAGCAGTGACCCCCCCCACACCCCGGGAGGAGACTGCACACAGCAGTGACCCCCCCACACCCCCGGGAGGAGACTGCACACAGCAGTGACCCCCGACCCCGGGAGGAGACTGCACACAGCAGTGACCCCCCCACACCCCGGGAGGAGACTGCACACAGCAGTGACCCCCACCCCCCCCGGGAGGAGACTGCACACAGCAGTGACCCCCCCACACCCCGGGAGGAGACTGCACACAGCAGTGACCCCCACCCCCCCCGGGAGGAGACTGCACACAGCAGTGACCCCCGACCCCGGGAGGAGACTGCACACAGCAGTGACCCCCCCCCCCCCCGGGAGGAGACTGCACACAGCAGTGACCCCCCCCACACCCCAGGGAGGAGACTGCACACAGCAGTGACCCCCCCCACACCCCGGGAGGAGACTGCACACAGCAGTGACCCCCCGACCCCGGGAGGAGACTGCACACAGCAGTGACCCCCACCCCCCCCCGGGAGGAGACTGCACACAGCAGTGACCCCCCCACACCCCGGGAGGAGACTGCACACAGCAGTGACCCCCGACCCCGGGAGGAGACTGCACACAGCAGTGACCCCCCCACACCCCGGGAGGAGACTGCACACAGCAGTGACCCCCCCCCACCCCGGGAGGAGACTGCACACAGCAGTGACCCCCGACCCCGGGAGGAGACTGCACACAGCAGTGACCCCCCCCACACCCCCGGGAGGAGAGACTGCACACAGCAGTGACCCCCCCCCGACCCCGGGAGGAGACTGCACACAGCAGTGACCCCCCCCCCCCACCACACCCCCCGGGAGGAGACTGCACACAGCAGTGACCCCCCCACACCCCGGGAGGAGACTGCACACAGCAGTGACCCTCCCCCACTGCCATTGTTCTTAGGGTTGCTTCATCCTGGACCTCACGGCCTCTCTTTAAAGAGTTGCTAGTTTGACCCTTTTTCGGGTGTTTCTGAGGCACCAGGTGTATGAACCTGGCCCAGAGAATCCAAGTGAAGTGGCGGGTGGGTCTAGAATGTTGTGGATCACCTCAGAGAACTGCCTGGCGTTGTGTGCCCAGAGCAGCCCTCCACATCACCTGCACATGCATCAGTCGCACCTGCTCTGTGTGTCTCTCCCCAGTGTGTGAGCGCGCGTGCACACACACGCACACACACACGCACACGCACACAGCGGCCTGGAGCACCGCAGCACACCATTGAGCTTTCGGGCCTTCCCTCCTGCTGGGTCCACGGAGCTGGTGGGGGTGCTCTGGCCACCGTGGGTGGTGGGTGTGGGTCTGTGCGCCCCGCTTCTTCTTGGGGGCCGTAGCACTAACTTGTCCTGTCTCCCACAGAACATTCGGTCCCTGATGAGTGCAGAGAAGGCCAAGGGTTTCTGCCAGCTGGTGGTTTCGTCCAGCCTGCGGGACGGCATGTCTCACCTGATCCAGTCGGCCGGCCTGGGCGGCCTGAAGCACAACACAGTGCTCATGGCCTGGCCTGCGTCCTGGAAGCAGGAGGACAACCCCTTCTCCTGGAAGAACTTCGTGGGTAGGTGTGGCTGGTGGCCCCTTGGCATCCCCTCACTGTCCCCTCTGCATTCCCTCACCGTCCCCTCACTGTCCCCTCTGCGTCCCTTCACCGTCCCCTCACTGTCCCCTCTTCCTCCCCTCAGCGTCCCCTCACTGTCCCCTCTTCCTCCCCTCACCGTCCCCTCACTGTCCCCTCTTCCTCCCCTCACCGTCCCCTCACTGTCCCTCCTCCTCAGCGTCCCCTCACTGTCCCCTCTTCCTCCCCTCACCGTCCCCTCACTGTCCCCTCTTCCTCCCCTCAGCGTCCCCTCACTGTCCCCTCTTCCTCCCCTCAGCGTCCCCTCACTGTCCCCTCTTCCTCCCCTCAGCGTCCCCTCACTGTCCCCTGTGTCCCCTCACTGTCTCCTCAGCTTCCCTTCACCATCCCCTCACTGTCCCCTCGCTGTCCCCTCGATGTCCCCTCACCATCCCCTCACTGTCCCCTCGACGTCCCCTCAATGTCCCCTCGCTGTCCCCTCGCTGTCCCCTCGATGTCCCCTTGATGTCCCCTCACCGTCCGCTCGCTGTCCCCTCACCGTCCGCTCGCTGTCCCCTCACCGTCCACTCGCTGTCCCCTCGCCGTCTCCTCGCTGTCCCCTCGACGTCCCCAGGCCTGTGCGCTGTCAGGTCCCGATGGGCCTCGAGGCTGCCGGCCTGAGGGTGTGTGCTCCGAGGCTGTGGAGGGCTCTGGCCCGGGGAGTGGTCATCTGAAAGCGTCCAGGCACTCCCTCCCCTTCTCCCAGAGCCCACGAGGGCTGGGGGAGTCCCTGGGCGCATGACCAGCAACTGAACTCTGCTGTGAGTCTCTGGCTGGGCCTTGGAGGAGCTGACGGAGTGAGGGTGGGGGCTTTGCGGGGACGCCACTCACCTCGCCGTGCCCGCCCCTGCGCCGGCTGTGAGTCCCGGGGGAGGCCAGACGCTTCTGCCGAGGCCCGTCCCGCACCCTGGCCTCAGGTGACCTGCGGACGGCCGCCTCTCTCACAGACACCGTCCGCGACACCACCACCGCGCACCAGGCTCTACTGGTGGCCAAGAACGTCGACTCGTTTCCGCAAAACCAGGAGCGCTTCAGCGGGGGCTGCATCGACGTGTGGTGGATCGTGCATGACGGCGGCATGCTCATGCTGCTGCCCTTCCTGCTGCGCCAGCACAAGGTGGGGTGCGCCGGGGACGGGTGGGGACGGGGATGCACCGGCCGGAGCACGGCTACCCCCCGCGCCGCGGGCCGGGCAGGCTCCTCCGAGGACCCGCAGCGACGCCCGCCCCGTCTCCAGGTGTGGAGGAAGTGCCGGATGCGCATCTTCACCGTGGCCCAGGTGGACGACAACAGCATCCAGATGAAGAAGGACCTGCAGATGTTCCTGTACCACCTGCGCATCAGCGCCGAGGTGGAGGTGGTGGAGATGGTGAGGCCTGCGGCTTGAGGGGAGGAGGTCGGAGGGGAAGTGGGGAGGAGGTGGGGGTGGAAGTGGGGGTGGAGGGGGAGGGCTGTGGGCCTCGTGAGGTGGAGAGGGGGATGGGGAGGGCTGTGGGCCTCGTGAGGTGGAGGTGGAGGTGGGGAGGAGAAGGTGGTGGCGATTGTGGTGGGGACTGCCAGGCCTTGTGGGGTGGTTGAGGAGGCTTGGTTTTGGAATCGTCAGGACAATGCAGAGAGCACAGAGCCCCGTTGTCCCTGTTGACACCTCGTGTAACCTGGGCGTGGGTGTTGCCCTAGAGCCGGCGTCGGCGTCTCCGTGTGCCCCATGGTCTCATGTCCTCCTCGGCCCGGGGCCCTGTCCAGGACCTCACACCTCAGTGGTATTGCCATGGTGGGTGCACCTCTGAGCACCTCCCGTTTTGGGTGCTCTCCCCAGATGGGCTCAGTCCCATGGCTAGAAACCACACGTCAGCAGTCGGGACTGGGGGAGAAGGGCACTGGTCAGAGGGAGGCCGGGCTGCAGCCATCGCGTAGGACAGACAGCCCCTCAGTCAGCTGCAGGTGGGGCCTGGACAGAGACTCGTCCTGTCCTTCAAGCCTGGAGAGGACGGGGTTGATGGGCGGAGGCCTGACGTGGGAGTGCTTGCTCTGGGCCCCCAAGCATGAAACTCTGGATCCTGGGGGTCTGGTGGGCCCCTTGTGCTGGATAGAACCATGCTATTGCTCCCTACCAGCCCACCCGGATCCACGGCTGTGCCTTCGCCTGTGGTCCTGTTGGCGGTCCTGGGACTTTGTGGGTTCTGACCCCATGTGGATCACACCAACTACACTGGCCTTGAAGTCAGAACCCTCAAAGTCCTGATTTCTTCTGGCTCCCGTGACCCCAGCGCACGGTTTTGCAGGCCCTCGGTGGCCTGGACTCCTGGAGGTGGGTGCTGGAAAGACATAAAGCTGGATAGAGACTGTCATGCTGTCCCCCAGGAAGCCATCTGTGCCCCTGCAGCAGCCTGGGAGGTGCGGTCTCCGCAGCCCCCCAGCCCCTCAGCCCCCCAGCCCTGGGTATGGCAGAGGCCCCAAGCACCTGCTCCTGGTTTGTGTCTGGCTGTGAGAGGCCAGGCATGGCTTCGTGCCCCGCCGACAACCTTCTGTGTTTCTGCGTCAGTTCCCGTGGAGCTTGCTTGTCCCGTGGGGCTGCTTTTCTTCTTGCCCTGTGGGACCTTTCCGAGGCCGAGGCTGAGGCCTGCGTGACGCCCGGCGGTTTTCTGCCCAGTTTTGTACACTGGGCTTAGTTTGCACGTGGCCGTGTCTTCGGGGACGATGGCTGGAGTTTGTCTTGCTTGGACGAGGCTTTGCAGGTTCAAGGTTGTAGGAGTTATTATTGGTGCTAATAGTTGTATGAATAACGTTATTTCCAAGTCATAAAACCACTTAGTAAAATGGTAACAAAATGCTGCCTGGGAGAACCAGCCCTGCCAGGGGCCCAGGTGGGGCAGCCACTGGGGCCCAGAGGAAACAGGCAAAGTGAGCCCATGGCCCCTGCCGCACCCCCAGCCGTACCCCAGCACCCCTGTGGTGCCAGAGGCAGCTCACCAGCTCCTGAGCAGGGGTTGTTAGCTCTGAAGTCCGGGAACCTGCAGTTCCCAGCACCCCCGATGCTCCCGGCCACATCTCTGGCAGGGCTGGTGCTGCCCGCCCCCCGTGGCCCTGGCCCCAGGTACAAGTGTCACCTGGCTGGAGAGGGGTGTGTGGGCCACTGCCATTCAGTCTGGCATGGTGTTTGTTTTTTAAAAAAATTTTTGAGACAAAGTCTCGCTCTGTCCCTGAGGCTGGAACCTCCATTTCCTGGGTTCAGGCAATTCTCCTGCCTCAGTCTCCCAAGTAGCTGGGACTACAGGTGCGCGTCACCGCACTTGGCTAATTTTTTTTTTTTTTTTTTTTTTTGTATTTTTAGCAGAGATAGGGTTTCACCATGATGGCCAGGCTGGTCTCAAACTTCTGACTTCAAGTGATCCACCTGCCTCAGCCTCCCAAAATGTTGGGATGACTGGTGTGAGCCACTGGGCCCGATCTGGTGTGCTGTTTTAAACACTGGTGCTTAACAGGCACAGCTGCTCCCAATTCCCATGAGCCAGGTGCAGCGGGTGAGACCCAGGGGTCCCGCACGGTGGGTACAGCGGGTGAGACCCAGGGGTCCCGCACAGGTGGATGCAGGGGTCCCGCACGGCGGGTACAGCAGGTGAGACCCAGGGGTCCCGCACAGGTGGACGCAGGGGTCCCGCACGGCGGGTGCACCGGGTGGACGCAGGGGTCCCACACAGCAGGTGCAGCAGGTGAGATCAGGGGTCCCGCACGGCGGGTGCAGCAGGTGGACGCAGGGGTCCCGCATGGCGGGTGCACTGGGTGAGACCCAGGGTCCCACACGGTGGGTGCTGAGGTTGTGCTGTGGCTTCTCCATGTGTCCTGGGTGGGTTTCCCGTGGTGCCGAGCCCCCCTGAGCATAGACAGTGACACCTGTGGGCGTGGATCCTGCAGCCCCATGGGGCAGTGCCTTGCCCTGAGCTGCGTGCGCCGGGTTGGTTTGTGACTGTGGCCTTGTCCTCACAGCTGCCCTTGTGCCCGGTCGGAGGGTCCTGGGGAGGGACATGAGCAGAGTGTGTGTGCAGCGTGACTGCCCGTTGTCTCACACCTTCCTGGCCACTGGGCGGGGGGCCTGAGAGCCAGAGGGGGCCTGTGGGGCCCGGGACACATGGCCTCTCCCACCGCTCAGGGCAGCTCAGTCTGGGTGCCGGGGTGGTGGTGGAGGCAGTCATGGTTCTGTGCACACCGGGCTCACTCTGTGCTTGGGAACTTTCTAGGTTGAAAACGACATTTCTGCTTTCACCTACGAGAGGACACTCATGATGGAGCAGAGGTCACAGATGCTGAAGCAGATGCAGCTGTCCAAGAACGAGCGGGAGCGAGAGGTGCGTGGGGGCCGCGGCCACAGAGATCAGACTTTCTGAGAAGTACAGCCGGCTTCGCTGAGTCTTTCCTGGGACTCTCTTGCAGCCCAGGAGGGTCCTCCAGGGAGCATTCCTCAGGTGCTGCGTTGCGGTCTCAGCCCCCGGTCCGCGTGGAGGTGGCAGAGGCCCTGCAGGAGCACAGGAGTGGGGTCAGAGCCAGAGCGCGTCAGAGCCTGGGCGTGCGGGTGCCTGGTTAGAGGAGCGGCGGCCTGCCAGAGGCACGCTCACGTACAGGAAGGGACAGGGCCGGGACCTTTGAACTTAGCTTTTCTGACTGAGCAGCGATGCAGGCGGGAGACGTGGGGACCCTCCCCAAGGGCGGTGCCCTCTGACAGGGTCAGCGGCTTCTGAGCCAGATGAGTGCCCGCATGAGTGCCTGCATGAGTGCCCACATGAGTGCCTGCAGCTTCTTACGATGGCTGCTTCGTCTCACAGCCTGACACCCCAGAGCCCCTCAGCGCCCTTCCCCGCAGCGTGCGCAGATTCTGTCCTGTCCAAGACCAAGTGGGAGGGGAGAGTGAGTGTGTGGGGAGGGAGGGAAGTGAGCTGGAGAGGAGGTGCCACCACACCCTGCCACCAATGCAGACCTGCTCAGCCTCCGCACATGGAAGCTGCTCGCCCAGCCGCAGAGGCTTGGGCTCCGTGGGTACCTGTAGGCTGCTGAGGATGTCCAGGTGTGTCCACCTGAGCTACACTGGGCTGGGCCCCGTGGCCACTGTGAGACCCTGAGGGCAGGCGTTTCTGGGGTCACTTCACGCCGGAGGACGGTGTGGGGGTCGCCTGGTAGCAGGATGCTCAGCTCTGTGAGGTCACGGCCCCGTGGGGTCTTCGTGGCTCCCACCAGGCTGGCATCACACACGTGTCTGTGTCTGCAGACCAGGTGCAGGCGATGGTTTTCTGAGACTACAGTGGCAGCAGCGGCAGGGACAGAGGCTTTGCCTGCCCTGGGGCCTCGGCCTCAGCAGGAACCTGCAGTACACGGGTCTGTGTATGGGGCCATATGCGCTGCCAGCCGGAATCACTAAGCAGTGACCACCCACTCCCCAACAGAGAAGCGCGGCTCTGCCCGCTCCCAGACCCCGGGAAGGTCAGGGTGGGCACAGATGTGGGAACTAGGGGGGATGCCCAGCTCGTCTGTGGACAGAGACCCCTTCCACGGCGGCCCGGGCAGCCAGGAGTGCTGGGAGGACCCACATCCTCTGTTTCTGTCCAGGCCAGGTCCCTGAGCTCCAGCAGGGTCGCCCTGGCATCACAAGGGTTCAGCCCAGGTCCAGCCAGGAGCAAGAATCCACCCACGGCTTGATGGGAAGTTCAGTGTGGAGAGTCGGCAAATGCTGAGCGAGGAGGGACCGGGGGCGGGAACGGCAAGCTTGAGCTCGAAGGGCGCCTGCTGGGCCAGGGCGGGGTTGCAGGTGTCGCTGCTCTGCAGAGGCCGGGGTTTGGCTGAGCCACTGTGCAGACGCTGGCTGGGCACCCTCTAGTTAGTGCCCTACACGGTGACCCTCAGGGCCAGGTGGGCGGCGCTGGCTCTGGCGAGAGCGGGCAGCCCTTGGGCTCTGGTTTCGCGTTCAAGGCCACGGGAAATTTAGGCTGGGCCGGGCTGTGAGGTGACTGCAGGGCCAGCCACAGTGAGTAGAGGCCTGGGGCCTGCTGTCCATGTCCAGAGAGGGAGGCAGCCCCAGGCCCTCCCCAATCTGTGCCAGCCTCTTCCCTTTCTGGAAGGACTGGCATCCAAGTTAAGCATGTTTATTTGGGGAGGAAGAACCTGGTCCAGTGAAATCACTCTGGGCCTTTGGCTTTTTAAAATCATCCCGGGGCTCACAGACTCCTGAAGCCCCCGGGATGAGCGGCTCCCCCGGGCTGCGGCACAGACTCAGGCAGGGCTCCAGCCACGGTGGGAGAGGTGGCCATTCCGGCACATGTGTAAATATCACTTCCAAGGTGGCACCCGTGTCTGGGAGCTCCCACTGGCCTCCCCTTCAGACTGGCCACAACAGCAGGAGGGCGTGAAGGGTACAGGGAGGGAGGGAGGACCCCGTGGAGGGTGTTCAACCACCAGGGACTGTGCCGTTGGTGCGACCTCGCAGTGAGGGCACCACTTCCCCTTCGGTGCCTACAGCGAGGGGCGGACGGTGTTCTCATTTTCCTTGGATTATCCGAAGTGACCTATGGGGCCGGCCCTGTCATTGGCCCCAACGGTGCCCCACAGGGCCCCAGTCAGCCTGGCTGGCCCCCAAACGTCCCCTGGCTGGTCAGACACAGCCTGCTTCCCTGGGACAGGGCCTGGATGCTGGCACGGCCCCACCTGCCCCGAGCCTCCCTGAGACAGGGACGCCTGCATGCCGGTTGTGTGGGCGAGCGGGTGGTCTCGGGCGAACACAGTGTGTGTGGAGCCCCGCCAGGTAGGGGGAGACTCCCAGCACGTGTCCCCTCCTGTCAGCACGGGGTCGTGGGGCCTTTCTCTCCAGTTCAGGGCCAGGGCGGGACGGTGAGGGGGTGAAGATGGGAGGAGGAAGTGAGCGTTTGGTCGGGAAGCCTGGGAGGAGGGAGGCAGCCGCGGGAGCGGCGCAGGGCCAGTGTGGGAAGCCAGGCTGGGTCCCGGGTCAGGCACGCAGGGCCCTTCTGGTTCTGTGGGCTGGCCTCGCCTCTGGCCTGGCGTCCTGGGTCGTTCTCGCCCGGGGGAGTTTTGAGACTGGCTGGTCTCAACGAATCCCGGTCCCACCAGGCCCAGCTGATCCACGACAGGAACAGTGCGTCCCACACCGCAGCAGCGGCCAGGACCCAAGCGCCGCCTACGCCAGACAAGGTGCAGATGACCTGGACCAGGGAGAAGCTGATTGCCGAGAAGTACAGGAACAGAGACACCAGCCTGTCTGGGTTCAAAGACCTCTTCAGCATGAAGCCGTGAGTGTCCGCGCATGTGACAGATCCTGGCAGTGCTGACCTGACAGTGAGGACAGAGTCCCTTCCCTGACCACTGAAGAGCTTCGGGGCAACCCCGCAGGCCAGTGGGCCCGTTAGAGAATAGGGAGCCGCCTGAGCGGGCACTGAGGGGTCCTGCTGCTGCCAAGGCCGGGCCCTGAGTTCGACCCTGTGGCCGGGCGCTGAGGGATCCTTCTAGTGCTGAGGCCGGGCGCTGAGGGATCCTTCTAGTGCTGAGGCCGGGCGCTGAGGGGTCCTTCTAGTGCTGAGGCCGGGCGCTGAGGGGTCCTTCTAGGACCTAGGCTGGGCCCCAGTGTTAACCACACAGCTGGGTGCCAAGTGGTCCTCCTGGTACCTAGGCCGGCCCCGAAGTCAGCCCTGCAGCCAGGCCTGCTCTGCTCTGCTGTGCAAGCCTTACTGTGGCAGGCAGATGAGTGTTCCATGGAGGCGAGGAGGTGTGTGCCGGCGGGCACGGAATTCCTGGCCTTCACCCTGTGGGTAGTTCAGGCTGCTGTCAGGCCCCAGGGCCTGCCCCACGCCAAGGCTCCCACTTGTGGCCTTGGGCTGCGAACACCGGGGCTGGACAAGGTCCTTGGGGGTGTGGGTCTGGTTCTGCAGACGCAGCCTTTGAGTCCCAGGGTGACAGCACCAGAGACACCTCTCACCTGGGGTTGGAGCCAGATCCTAAAGCTGGATTCTCAGGAAGGACTGGGGGCTCCCAGGCCCTGTGGGGTGGGACGAGGTGGCCTTCTCCCCGGCAGCCGTGATGTCTGGAACAGCCCCGGTGCTCACCTCTGAAGTCAGTAACGCACTCTTGTTTTTCTCTGCTGCATAGAGAATGGGGAAACCTGTAAGTCCACTCGCTACTACCAGGTTGCCTCCCGGGCCCGGTTGCCCTGCATGCCTGTGTGTGCATGGCCTGTGTGTGTCTGTGTGTGTGTGTTCCAGGCCTGTGCTTGCCCTGTGCACGCTGGCCTGTGTGCATCCGAGTGTGGCCAGAGCTTACCTAGCGCTGCTGCGGCTTTCACATCAACTTCCTGTTGCCTTTGCTCCCCTCTGTTCACGGTGGCTCCAGCACACACCTGAAGCCTCTTCCTAAGTGAGGCCCAGGAACTGAGACCTGGGAGGTGGCCGAGCTGCTCCGGAGTGGAGGGGAGGCGCGTGCCTCACAGGGCCCGTCAGTGAGGCCCAGGAACTGAGACCTGGGAGGTGGCCGAGCTGCTCCAGAGTGGAGGGGAGGCGTCCGCCTCGCAGGGCCCATCAGTCCTTCCACGTCCTTCTAGGTCGGGCGCTAGCTGAGTTGCGCCCCACATGGAATGCCTTCCATGTTAAAGCCGTACACCCTGGGGATTGACCGTTCAGTCTCCAGGCGGAGAGGGTTGCAGATCAGTTCTCTGTGTGGTCGGACCCTGGGGTGGGAGCTGCTTGTGTCTGAGCTCCGGGGTGGGTGGGAGGGAGCACCCTGGACGGACCCCCAAGCTGCTCCCTGGGAGTCCTCGACGCTGTCTCTGTCCCCTGCCTGCCCCTGCCAGTAACCGCCTGGGTTGTGTTTTCCTTGTGGGCAGGCAGTGCCTGGGGCCTGAGTGAGGAACGCCTTGGCTGAGTGGCCACACTTCCCTTTTTATCTTTAACCCTGAAATCTGAATTAATCAGACTTGAGAAACTGCAGCTGTGTGGGAGGCGTGTAGGGAATCCCTGTACTTCCTGCTCCATTCTGTGAATCTGAAAGTGCCTTCAGAATAGCGTATTAATTAAAGCTGCAGAATGAGGACGCAGACCCAGGAGTAGGGTTTGACACACACGTGCACGCACACTCGGGGACCTGCAGTGGCACCTGTGCCTCCTCCCAGCACCAGGGCTTGCCTCTCCTGGGCTGGGGCAGGGGCAGGTCCCCACAGGCCTGTAGGGTCAGGAGAAGGTGGGCCAGAATGGACGAAGCATGGGCTTTGTGTTCATGTGGGGCGTGCGTTTGGGACGGCACTGACTCTCCTGGCCCAGCAGTTCCTTGGGGTTGGGCTAGAAGTCCTCCGAAGATCTGGAGGTTGGGCCCTGACCTCTTCTGGGCAGTGCAGGTGTGAGATGTGCGCAGCTTACTGTGACGTCACTGGGAGCGCACTTAGGAATGTCTGTGCATTTGTGTGCGTGCTCGCATGTACCTGTCAGCGCACCTGCAGGTGGACATGTACCTGCCTGTGTGCATGTCTGCGTACGTGTTAGTATGCATGTCTGCACATACTATGCATGTCTTACATGTTAGTGTGTCTGCACCTGTTTGTGTGCACATTATGACTGCACGCCTATTTGTGTGTGCATGATAGTGTGTGCACGTGTTTGTGTATTAGTGTGACTGCATGCCTGTATGTACATGTCAGTGTGTCTGCATGTATGTGTGCGTGCGTATACACATTAGTGTGCTTATCTGTGCCTGTGTCTGCACTGGTCCTCCTTGCTGTGGCAGCCGGCATACTCCACCAGCAGCCAAGGGACAGGTCCCTGCTTCCCCCCAGCACTCACTGCTGTAGACATGCTGCCTTCTCCGACCCCCCCTTGCCCCTGGCCTGGTCTCACTTCCTGGCGTTGCTCTTTGTCCCCAAACACACTGGTAATTGTGGTCTATCTAGAAGTCGAATTCAAAGTTCCAAGTTCCTGTAACGAAAGCCCCTTGACTGTACTGTGGACAGAGACCCCATCTGTAATTAGACCAAGCTGGAGAGGAGATGAAAGGCCTCTCCGTGTTCCTCCTGGAAATTGGTGGTTGTGATCAGGTTTATTTGGCTTAAGGGTCAAGTGGATCAAAGGGCGTGAGCCTGGACGGCGTCCGTGGGGCCTCTCCGTGACCCTGCATGGGCGGGCTCTGTCTGTCCGCCGCCGCCCCTCTGCGTCCAGGGCACTGGTGACCTCCCCAGGGGGCCACGGTCACGACTGTGCTGACTGCAGCTGGCCTGAGACCCGCTCTGACTTGCAGGTCCACACACAGGCCGGGTTTTTCCAACACAGAAACGCGAGTGCTCCCCTAGGGCTGCCCTCTGCCGGCGTTTCCCGAGGTGGCTTCCTGGAACGCCAGTTCTGCTGCGGTTTCGGGGCCTGCCTAGGGAGGGGACCATGGGGTAGAGGAGGGAGGTAAGCTCTGTCCCGCAGGGGCCTGAGCACTGCACAGCTTGATTCTGCAGTGTCCCCAAACCTGCTTGGCTGGGGAGTCTCCTGGGGGGCCGCGGCCGGGCCCAGGCTGCCAGGGACACTTTGAGACATGGACTGGCCATGGCAGCTTCGGAGAGCAGACAGGGAGGGCCGTGGAGCAGAGCTGCGTTGTCAGTGAGGACGGAAGGCCGGGGCTGGACGGCCACACAGTGGAAGTGCTTGTCCTTTAGCCCTTGGCCAGGCAGGGGCAGGGTGGGCTGTGGGAGGGGACCCCAATAGTGGCCACTGTGAGCGCCTGTGCCTCCAGCTGAGTTCTCGGCAGACCCTGCCCCCCCGAGAGCTTCAGCAGCGATGGCTGCACAGGCCGGGGGTACCTCGGGGCCTTTCCTTCCTGAGCTTCTGGGCCCTGGACCCAGTCGTATCAGGACCCTCAGAGAGGAGAGGAGAGGAGAGGACGGGAGGGGAGGGGAGGGGAGAGGAGGCCACGTGTGCTCAGCCTGACGGGTGGTGCTTGGCAGCGTCTGACATGGGGTTTAGGGGCAACGCCATGAATGTCAAGAGAAATGTGTCAGCCTTGAAGGCGTCAGGCACACGGGACACCCAGACGGTTTCCACTCTGTTCTGCCTGCTTCGCAGACGTAGATGTAGTTGAGAAAGCGCTTGTTGTTTGTGTCGTGTGACTAGCCCTTAGAAGCTTGGCAGCCTTAGTGTGCTGAGTTCTAGGTGCCTGGAGGCCAAAGCACCCACTGCTGAACAGCCGCCCCGCTGCAGTCAGCACCTCTCGCTCAGAGCGGCCGCCTCTGCATCCTTCAGGGTCAGAGGAACCGCCTGATCCTGACTCACACAGCCCTTTCCAGTGCGTGTAAATGTGGCTCATCAGGGCTCGGCTCAGCCTCATGTCCAGAGCGTGGGGCGCACCTGCTGCCCGCTGACCGTGCCCACCTCCCCCGCAGGGACCAGTCCAACGTCAGGCGGATGCACACGGCTGTGAAGCTCAATGGCGTCGTCCTCAACAAGTCCCAGGACGCACAACTGGTCCTGCTCAACATGCCAGGGCCCCCCAAAAACCGGCAGGGAGACGAGAACTGTATCCTTCCCCGCAGTGTGCCTGCTGGGCATGTGGGCATCCCCTGGCGGCTTCTCACTGAGACCTGGGATTGTGGGTCCTGTGAGCGAGACTGGCTTCCCGCCTCTCCTTCAGCCCCAGGCCCTGGGAGCTGCGACTGGGATGCAGTGGGGCTCTGAGGCCAGTGGTGACGGGGCCAGAGTTGAGGCCAACCCTGCATTGGTGTGGGAGAGGGAGGACCCGACTACAGTACCAGCCCCACTGTCTCCGGGTGCTCAGGGCTGCCCTGGGGCTGGGAGGCTCCCTGTTGTGCACCCCCACAGCAGCTGTGCATCGTGGGACCTCTGCTGGGGCTTGGCCCCACCCTGCCCGGACGATGGTGGGAGGTGAAGAGCCCAGCTCGGCTTTAAGGCCCCAATTAGCCACAGCTTTGGGAATTTGTGCTTTGTTGGGAAGGAGAACTCCGCGGTGCATCTGGGCGTATTGGCACAGACAGGGCGATGCCTGGCACATCCCTGCCAGGTCGGCACCAAGAGCTGGGGCCAGTGAGGGCATGTCCTCCACGGGTCCTGGTCAGGAGCTGTGGCCCAGGTCCCCTAGAGACTGGCAAGGACCCAGTCCTTTGGCTGGGGTTCCCTGTCGTGGGGTCAGCACCGTGGGCTCTGTCGCTGTCTCTGCTCATCCTTCCTGTGGCCACGGTGCTCCTTCTCTTTCCTGAGCACCGGCCTCTCTCCCCGCTGCCTTGCCTCTCTGTGCCCGGGGGTCTCTCTAATCCCCACCCCTCTTCTCACCTTGGCTCTGGCTTTCACAAATCAAATCTTAGCTAACTAGGAAGAGGATAAAACCTCGCTCCCAACACGATTCCAGCTACACACGCCCAGGTGAGATCAGCTCTGGCCTTAACTCTGTTGACCACAGACATGGAGTTTCTTGAGGTCCTGACCGAGGGGCTGAACAGAGTCCTCCTGGTCAGGGGTGGCGGCCGGGAGGTGATCACCATCTACTCCTAACGCCCAACAGCGTTGCGGCGCGCTGGGACGGGCACGGAGGACGGCGTGGGTGGCCTGCACCTGGGCTTGGCCCAGGGAAACAGCAAACACACCTGTCCCCCAGTGATGCCACCCAACCTGCCCGTGGGGCTTCCTACGGAAGTTTCTAGGCCCGTCACCTGGGGCTCTCCTGTTCAGCAGCCTTAAACGACAGGCTCAACCAGCAAGGGCGCGGCTGGACGATTTCCTTGCGTCCGAGGGCAGACACTGCTGCAGGAGTGACCTGGACGTGGCCGCATCTTCTCGCAGGTCACAAGACGCCAGCGAGCCCTCGCCTTGGTTTCTGGAAGTTCTTTTCTTGGCTGGACTTACCCAGTGGTTAGGTTGCATTTCTACCCCATCCAGAACATTCTTGGAAGAGCACCCGGAGCCGAAGCTGTCCCTGGTGATGAAGGTGAAACGTCAGCCCTGGCCGTGGCTCCGCTCAGGGCCCTGGTCACCTCCGAGTCGCTGTGTTCCTTGACTGTCTTTGTGTTTCTGCACCTCAAGGCAGGGAGGCTGGAGGACTCTGTCCATGCCCGTGTCACCCTCGTGTGGGAGCATCTGGGCTCAGCAGGTCCGCGTTTCACGAGCTGAGGCGTGGGCTGGGGCCATCTGGAAAGGGAACTCAGCTTTTCTGGAATATGGTGGATCATCTGTTGTGTGTGTGGTGAACACGGTGTGTTCGTCAGGGCCTATGCTCCAGGAAGGAGCCCCCAGTTGTGGCTCTGCCATGCCGGGCTGTGTTCGTAGCCATCCGAGTCTCCATCCGCCTTCAGAAAACCAGCCACTTCTTTTCATAAGCACTGACAGGGCCCAGCCCACAGCCACCGCTGCCGTCAGTGCCTCGCACAGGTGAATGCACTGAAACCCAGGGGCACACGCACACGGAGTGAACACCGAGTTCCCATACGGCCCACGACAGCCAGGACTCTCCATCCCACCCCACCCCAGGAGCATGGCACATGGTTCAGCCTCTGAGCCGGCTCACACGTGCCATCCCCACCCGGGCGCTCCAGGGAAGGTGGACACGGCCCCTGCGTGGGAGGTCCTCAGGCAGCAGTGGCGCCTGGCGTCGGACCTGTCTGGCTGAGTCCCGGGCGTCCCCTCCATGGCCTGTGCCTTGCGTGGAGGCGGCGGCGGCGGCGGCACTGAAGAGATACCTTTCAAGGGCCCAGCACACTTTGCACTTCCGCTGTGAGTTTGCTTTACAGGCTGTGGTCACATTTGCAGACTGCGAGCAGTGGCACCGACTTGGGCCTTCCTTTGTGTGTGGCGTATTTATTTATTTAAACACCCCAGGGAGTTACATGGTAAGGAGGTTGTCCATAAAGAGCTTGCTTCTATACTGGAGGCCCCAGATGGCCAGGCCTCGGGCTGCGTCCGGCTTGCACGGTCTCCCGAGGGAATCAGCCCCATCAACGAAGTTCAAATCAGGGCAGAGGCTGCACTTGTGCCTCCAGACAGTGGTTTCCGCACCAGGCTGGCATTGCTGTAGAGTGACGGCTGCCTAGAGCATGTCCCGGACATCACAGCGGGGCTCAGCAGTTCCCACAGCCTCTGCCTGCCTTGGCTAAGTGTGAGTTAAGCAGCAAAACTCTCCTCCGTGTATGAATGGGGCCAGCAGGTCCTGTGTCCCCTGCACCTGGAGGAGAGCAGGCTAGAGGCACAGTGGCCGCTGGGTGCTGGCTCTGAATGTCGGTTGGTGGCTGGAGAACAGCCCTGTGTGCTGGATGCCTCTGAGGGCCGCTCAGTCCCGCACACCAAACGGCTCGTGAGGGCTCAGCTCTGCCTCCGCCCTGGGCTGCAGCCTCTGCAAGCAAGCGACAGGCATCCTTTCTGTTATCAACTCCATGTAACCAGTAACTACGGCCATTTATAATTGACTCCGTTTCCTTTTGTAGGTTCCCTGTCTTTGTTCTTTGTATGATTTTGTTAGTAGAAAAATAAAGTCCGATGAAATCTGAGTATGCTGAAGAATCTCTCGAGTGTCATTCAGCATAAAAGTTAGACAACTGGAGAAAATGGTACTAGCCGCCCCTTCTCTAGCAGCAGCGTCAGGGCTGACCAGCCACAGCCAACGCAGGTGGCTGGAGAGTGACCATATGAATCGGACGAGGGCTTTAAATCATGTCATCAGTTTGGAACTGACCTTACCCCAAACTTCCTAGTGCTGCATGTTAAAATGACCCAATCTATGTATTCATTTTTGAGACAGTCTCTGTTGCCCAGGCTGGAATGCAGTGGCGCCATATCAGCTCACTGTAACCTCTGCCTCCCGGGTTCAAGCTATTTTCCTGCCTCAGCCTCCCGAATAGCTGGGATCACAGACATGCACCACCACACCCAGCTAATTTTTGTATATTACTAGAGATGGGGTTTCACCATGTTGGCCAGGCTGGTCTCGAACTCCTGACCTCAAGTGATCTGCCCACCTCAGCCTCCTAAAGTGCTGGGATTACAGGCGTGAGCCACCGTGCCCAGCCATTTGATTTATAATTTATATAAGGATGGAGGCACCAGAGAGTTGACCTGAGTGGGGACAGCACGTTCTAACGCGGTGAGATGCCACCTCACGCCTGTGATTGGCCACAGCCAAAACAGTGGAGAACCACGGTGAGGACGTGTGGAATCGGACCCTTCTTGTGGGGTTGCAGCCACATGGGAAGGGCCTGTGGTTCCTGAAAGTGCGAGACACAGAGCTGCCCCTTCCCCAGCAGGTCCACTCCTGGTGTGTGGCATGGCCTCAGGAACGGGTGCATGCAGGTTCACAGCAGCCAAACTGGACGTGGTCTGAGAACATGCTGAGTCCATGCAGGCTGTGCCTGCTGTGGGCCTCATCCAGCTAGAACCAGGAGCCAAGCTTGGAAGCCTCTCGCTCTGGAGGAAGCTGGACACAAGGGGTCTCACGCTGCGGGACTCCACTTAACGCGAAATGCCAGAGCGGGCCAGGCACAGAGGCAGGGTGTGCACTGACAGGTGCCGGGGGTGGGCTGAGGGAATGGGGGAGATGGGGGATGGGGGGAGGCTGCTCATGGGGTATGGATTTCTTTTTGGGGTGAAAATGTTCCGAAATGGCTGTGGTGAAGCTTACGTGACTGAACGTGCTGGAACACTGCCTCGTGTGTGTCGAAGGGTGAATTATGTGTGTGAAGCTGTTGGGCACCGTCTCCAGAGGGCCTGACACATGGTGGACAGGAAGGGACATGGCACAGGAGGGTGGCGGGTCCTGCTCTGGCTCTCAGGCCACAGGAGAGTGACCATGAGAGCAGCGTTGTCCTCAGACCCCTGACGGGTGAGTGCTGGCTGCACCCAGGAATCCACACCCGGGACTTGGAGCACAGGAGTGGCCAGCTGGGGTGGGCCTGCTGTCCTGAGGGCCACGTGCTCACAAATTCCAGCAGGGAGGTTTGAGGACCCACTGATACCCACACGTCTGGGACCAGGGCCCAGTCAGAGACCCCGAGGTGTCCCCTTCCCTGGGAACCCGAAAACCAGGCTGCCTCCTCGCCTCAGTGGGTGCTTCCCAAGGAGCAAGAACTCGGCTAGAGCAGTCACCCACTCGTTCCCTCGTTCCCTCATTCACTCACCCAGTCGTTCTCCCACTCATCTGCACACTAATTCACTTACTGCTCATCCACCCGTGCCCCGCCTCACCCATTCACCCACTCACCACTCACGGTCACCCACCCCATTCATTCGCCTACTCGTACTCATTTACCCCTCAGCCCCTCACTCATCGCTGTCATTCACAAACTCAGTCACTGTTCCATTCATTTATTCACCCATTCATTCATTCATTCCCTAACTCACCCACTCATCCTTCACCCATTCACTCACTAATTTACACCAGGTCACTCCCACTCATTCAGATACAGGCTGGTTCAGCTACAAGATCATCTGCTAGTCAAAGTCTACACAAACGTAAGAAAGAACAAAGCTCTTGGTTTCTGTGACACAGGCCTCTGTCCTTGTGTCACCTCTGTCACCCAGTCTCCTGCAGCAAAGCCTTCCTGGCGCCAGCATGGTGGGAAGACCTGGCCGAACGGCAGGTAGAGCTGCCCCAGGAGCAGGCTGTGTGCCGGGAGTCCTCCGAGGAGCCTCCGCCTCTGTCTCGCCTGCAGTAATGCATGGCCTTCCTTCTAGTGGCACCCACGTCCCCCGACGGGTGTGACCCGGGAGCCAGAGCAGGACCTGATGCCATCCTGTGCTGTGTCCCTTCCCATCTGCCACGTGCCAGGCCTGCTGGACATGGTACCCAACAGCTTCACACACACAATTCGCCCAGGCCCAGGCCAAGCTGCTGCAGCATAACTGCAGACACACCAATCTTTACACGTGGGTGTTTAATGAATGACACCCATTCAGCACTGGCTCACTTTCTGTGCATGTGTGTTTTTTGCAGGGTTTTTTTTGGAGGGGGTTGTGGTTCTTGTGTTAGTCTGTTTTGCATTGCTATAAAGGAATACTTGGCACTGGGGTATTTATAAAGAAAAGAGGTGTATTTGGCTCCCCGTTGTGCAGGATGTACAAGCACGGTGCCTGCATCTGCTCAGCTTCTGGGGAGACCTCAGGAAGCTTCCACTCAAGGCAGAAGGCAAAGGAGGGGCAGGGATGTCACATGGTCAGAGCAGAAGAGAGAGGGGGAGGTGCCAGTTCCTTTAACCCAGCAGTCCCCAACCTTTTTGGCACCAGGGACTGGTTTTGTGGAAGACAAGTTTTCCACAGACGGGGTGGGGGGATGGTTTCAGGATGAAACTTCCACTTCCAATCATCAGGCATTAGATTCTCATAAGGAGCACCCAACCTAGATCCCTCGTATACGCAGTTCACAGCAGGGTTCGAGGGCCCACGAGGATCTAATCCCCCTACTGATCTAACAGGAGGTGGGGCTCAGGCAGTCGTGCTCCCTCACCACTGCTCACCTCCTGCTGTGTGGCCCGTTCCTAACAGGCCACAAACCGGTAGCAATCCACAGCCTGGGGGTTGGGGGCCCTTGCTCTAAAGAACCAGATCTCCCACGAACTCAGAATGAGAGCTCACTCATCACCATGGCGAGGGCGCCAAGCCATTTGCCAGGGATCTACCCCCGTGGCTCAAACCCCTCCCACAGGCCCCACCCAGCACCGCGGATCACATCTCAACATGAGACTTGGAGGGGACATACACCCAAGCCCTGTCCATTCCCCTTACCTCGTTCAGGCTCAAGTGTGGCACCCTGAGGCACCAAGGGCCCTGCTGGGTGAGGCAGGCCCCAGCAGCTGGAGTTGGCAGTGGTGTCAGCGACTGTTTCCGGGGCTCTTTGAGCACCAGACCAGAACAACTCTGCTCCTGTCTTGTGTTTGCTGGAGTTTCGTCTGCACTGACAGTTTTCGTTTTTAACACCAAGGTTTAGAGGCAAAGCAGGCTGAAGCCCAGGCCTGGCAGAGCCTCCCTCCTCCCCAGTCGGTTGGCTGAGCCTGGCCCAAAGGGTGTGCAGGGATCTCCAGTCGGCGATGTCACTTGGGGTCTGATAGGTCCTCCGGGACTAAACAAACAAGGTCCCCTCAGCGTGAGGCCACGTGTGACATCACTGCACCCCCAGATGAATCTTCCTCGTGTGTCATCCCCAAAGCAAGTGCCACATGAGATGCAGTCATCGCCAAACCAGGGGCTGCCAGGCACCAGGCCAGGCAGTGCCTCCAGGGGCTCGGAAGTGCCTGGAAACGCTGTGAGCGCTCTGGCCTCAGGAACCCCGAAAATCCCTCCCTGTGCTCACAGGAGACACCCCGGGGCAGTCCCGAGGGGTCTGTAGACACCCAGGAGCAGGGCACATTGTCCACAGAGAAGCAGCAAATAAGCTGGCAAAGGCCGTGGCTTCTCCACAGATTCCTGTTCACACAGAGCCCAGCTTCTCTCCATAAAGCTGGGTTCGCGCAGCCTCGTGTTCCTGTTACCGTGAACTGAACTTCGGGGTTTTCTTAGAGCAGTAAAATGGAAAAACAAAAAAGCCTACCTATAATTATGGAGTTGTGTGTGTGCATGTAAATTTACCGTCCTCTAAGCCGAGACGAACAGGCGCACTTCCTCCCAGAGCCCCGCGCAGGCAGCCTGCTCTCCACGCCTTCGGCCACGGGCTGGCGGAGGGGACCGACCGACCACAGCACCGACCATCTCTCTCTGAAAAGCTTGTTTTAATACGAGGTGTGGCATGGTACAAAATGCAGATATATTTATTAGGCCTGAAAAACATCTGTCACCAGTTGGCATCAATTTGCTTTATCCTTAAAAACAGAACAAGGAATGTAAACGCAAAACTGCTGTGCAGGCTTGCCAGATCCCGGAAAGCGCCCGCATGTTCCTGTTCGGGGTAACCACGTGGACCCCCGCAGGCTGCAAGACTCAGAAATGTCACTGGGACGTCCTTCAACCCTGCAACCCTCTCCTGACCCTTGCAGGAGGACACACTTTTCTCCAAAGCTGACACGTCACAGAAGCCGCCCCGTGAGTGTTGGACAGTGAATGTTCAAGTCCCCGTGTTCTGGGCCGCACCAAGCGCAAGCCTCTGCCTCTCCCCAGCATCTGTCGCCCTGCCCCTCCCCGCCTTGACTGTGTCCTGCATCCACCTGAGCTGCTGTGGCTCCGGGACCAGGGCCTACCTCCACCGCCGCATGCTGCCCTGTGGCCCCTCCTCGCTCGTCGGGGCTCCCTGTGCCCTGTGGTCCCTCCTCGCTGGTCTGGGCTCCCCACTCTGGCACTTCTCTTTCTAGCGCTGCTGCCTTCTGCTACGTCTGCTGCTTGGCCTCCTGCAGGGAGCCGCGGATGCTCCCCGCTAAGCACAAGCTGCTTCCCCTCGGCCCTGTCCCCTCTGACTTCATGATGCACAAGCCAGGCAAAGCTTCAGCTTTTCCATTCGCTCCCGGCCTCGCACTGGGACAGCCTACGGAGGCCACTGCTTGAAGCCCGGGAGGAACACCCACCCCAAGCATCCGGGCGTTCCCTGCGCACTCTAGGACCTCATTTTGGAATTGTAAAGGAAAGTAGTTTTATGGGTGACACAGATGAGCCTTAGAGCCAGGAAACGCAGCGGCCCAGATGTGTTCACCGCCACGTGGCATCGAGGGCAGGAGAGCAGAGGGCCCCTGGGCCTTGTCCGCGTGTCCAAGCTGTGCCGCCTCCGTCACACCAGCACCTGCAGTCAGTTGCTGTTTGCTGTCGGAGGTCGGGGGTGCTGGGCTCCCCGTCCCGAGGGTGCGGGCCGTGGTGTGCTGGAGCGAGGTGTGCTTGGCGGCGGCACTAGGACGGGTGGAAGTGGTGGTGGTGGTGGTGGTGGTGGTGCTCGTGGTGGTGGTGGTGTTCGTGCCGCTGGATCACCGGCACCGCGTAGCTCTCTCCCGCTGGCGTGGGCGGCAGGTCCCGCACCACCTCGTGCTCCACTGCGGCAGGCTGGGCGTGTGGGGCCTTGAGTGGCGAGTGGCCCTCCCTGCCCTTTTGGCGGTACCGCTTGTGGCCGTAGGGTGGCGGTGGGGGCTGCGGGGGAGGCTGCGGGAGGTGGTGGCCGTCCTGAGGGGCCTGGGGGGACAGGACGGCCGGCAGGTAGTAGCTGAAGGCTTTCCCGGACTTGCTGCTGGCTGGCACCCCAGGCAGCTTCCCGGAGCCCTTGGGGGACTTGAGGAACTGCTTCTCCGGCCCCTTCGGCCGGGGCTGTGGGTCCAGGGCCCGGGCAGCAGGTTCCAAGGATGGCACGTGTTCCACCAGCACCTGCGACCTGCGGTGGTGCACGGCGTGTGTGTCCGGCTCTTGGGAGCGGGACCGGGCCTGGAGGTGCAAGGCCCTGCCCTGGGGCTCCTGCTTGGCTTGTACAGGAGGGGACCCTGCGGACACAGGTCAGAGTGTGAGGCCCTGGGAGTGCAGGCCCAGGTTCCCATCTCCTCCGAAACGGCCCAAGGCCCACTGGAAGAGCTTTGCCAGGTGTCCCATCTGAGGCCAGCCTGTTAGCCAAGTCTGCAGTCAGACGGCCACCAGCCCTGAAGGGAAGGGGCCCGGCCACCGGGGATGACCTGCCTGGCTCCACAGCTCCCTGCAAAGGCCGACTCCTCTAGCCCCATCCCCACTGCGTGTCCTGGGAGCGGAGCTTCTCTCCTCGCACAGCTGAGACCCTGCCTGGGGCCCCATGGCAGAAAGCCAGGTTATGTCAGGGAGGGCACCCCCAGGATTCACGTCCCCTAAACCCTCATTACAAAACAGATTCCAGAAGGACCCAGGGCTTCCACCTTCACAAGGTGCAGTGCAAGCCCCATGCACAGAATGGCCCAGTTCAGCGTCAGCACACAGCACACCGAGCCCGTGACCCCGATCCAGCTCCACCCCTCCTGCCCCTGGGGACTCCTGGAGCCGGGGTTAGGAGAGGGACTTGGCCCCAGTCCTTGGGAAACGGCCTGGGCTTTAGTCCAATAATCTCCATGCAGGCCACACGAGGGTGCTGCTGGTCAGAAATAAATGGGTGCTGGGCAGGCTGCCAGCTGTCTACGCTGCTTGCCATCCACACTGCCTGCCGTCCACACTGCCTGCCATCCACACTGCTTGCCTGCCATCCACACTGCCTGCCGTCCACACTGCCTGCCGTCCACACTGCCTGCCGTTCACAATGCCTGCCGTCCACACTGCCTGCCGTCCACACTGCCTGCCTGCTGTCCACTGTCTGTTGTCCACACTGCCTGCCTGCCATCTACACTGCCTGGTGTCCACACTGTCTGTTGTCCACACTGCCTGCCTGCCATCTACACTGCCTGGTGTCCACACTGTCTGTTGTCCACACTGCCTGCCATCCACACTGCCTGCCTGCCGTCCACAATGCCTGCCGTCCACACTGCCTGCCTGCCGTCCACATTGCCTGCCTGCCGTCCACATTGCCTGCCGTCCACACTGCCTGCCGTCCACACTACTGGACAACTCCTCTGCTGAGTGAGCTGGTGATTCGACCCTAAAATACTGACTTCTCACCCCAAGGCAGGGTTTTCCTGAATGCAAACCCAACGTCTTCCATCTCACTTTGAACCAGGTACTCCCCCTGCCATACACACACACCTGGACGGGGCGCCCGCCTTGCTTTTGGGCGGCACCAACAGGTAGCCAGGAGGCAGTCACGACCAACAGGTAGCTGTGGAAGGACCTGGGTGCCAGGCGGGGCGGGGCAGGGTCCCCCTGCACTCAGGGCTGCAGGAAGCAGGACCTTCAATGGGCACCCACAGCCGGGGCCTCGCGCCCAGGGTGGCCTCCAGGACATACCAGGGCCGAATCTGGACGTGTAGTTCTCAATCCCGGCGAGGTCCAGGTAGTGGTTTCTGCGCTCCGTGTTCTCGTCCACGCAGTAGGGTCCCCGCTCTGAGCAGGGCTGGGGGTCAGCGCTGGGCCTCCTGCATGGAGCACAGAGAAGGGCCTGACCGCCACACAGACTGGGCGGCACGTCCCCGAGGATGGGGTACCTGCAGCAGGCGGCGGACGTCCGGGGTGTGTCCTGACCAGCACCCACCTCCTCGCAGAGCAGGAAGAGCGGACGACTGGGCGCAGACACAGCCAAGTGCCGTCCAGAGAAACAAGGTCATGGCCGCCCCCCGGAACCCTGTGATCTCTGTCCCAGGCACCAGAGCTGCAGGTGCTCTAGGGAGCGGCTCATGCTGTAGTGGCCCCTGGTCACCACTCTGGGACCACTGTAGCCACTGCACCAGCCACTGCCCAGCCACCCTCAGCCACTGCCTGAGCCATCCCCAGCCACCCTCAGCCACCCCCAACCATTGCCCCAGCCACTGCCTAGCCACCCCCAACCACTGCCCCAGCCACCCCCAGCCCTGCTGCTGCCAAAGCTGCTGAGTGGAGCAACAGGGAGCCACGGCAAGTCCAAGCTGAGGGTGTCAAGGCTGCTGCAACTGCTGCCCCTCAAAGCCCTCTGCTCAGACAGACTCGGGGGCCCAGCTCAGCCACGGTGCCAGATGCTGGAAGGGCCCGTGCCCCACAGAGCTGCCGGCCCAGGTGCCCCCAGCAGGTCTGACCTAGAGGACAATGCATGGCCTGTGGCCTGCGGGAAACAGGGGTATGGCCAGGGTGCCTCTGCCTAAGGCACAGCCCCACCCTGGCACCCCAGCCCTCACCTGACGTGTGCAGACAACCTCCTGTCGGCCACCCTTGGCTCCTCTGGCAGTTCACTCTCTGTTCTGCAACGGTTGGGCTCCCGGTCTGAAAGGGGGGTCCTGCTGTCACTCACTCACTCCCTTCTTCATTCAGCACTAACTCATTCACTCATTCATTAACTCACTCATTCACTCATTCATTAACTCACTCATTCACTCATTCATTAACTCACTCGTTCACTCATTCATTAACTCACTCATTCACTCATTAACTCACTCATTAACTCACTCGTTCACTCATTCATTAACTCATTCACTCATTAACTCACTCATTCACTCATTCATAAACTCACTCATTCACTCATTTATTAACTTACTCGTTCACTCATTCATTAACTCACTCGTTCATTCACTCATTAACTCACTCGTTCATTCACCCATTAACTCACTCGTTCATTCACCCATTAACTCACTTGTTCACTCATTCATTAACTCATTCACTCATTAACTCACTTGTTCACTCATTCATTAGCTCACTCATTCATTCATCTGCTTACTCACTCACCCATCCATTCACCCACTCACTCCTCCATCCACTCACTTGTCCCTCCCTGTCCCCAGCACACAATTTAGGCCCCTGCCAATGTAGGGTAGGGTCCTGTATGTGTGCTCAGGCCTCGCTCACCCTGGCCGACAGGAGGACCCTCCTTCCTCTTGCTGGAGGGCTCAGGGCTGACGGTTAGCTTCACACGGAGGGTCTTGCTGCTGCCCGAGGAGTGGTTGACCGAGGCATCCACGACCTCATAGATGGTATGCATGAGGCTGGACATGTCCTGGGGCCCAGCATCGGTGTCACTGACAGAGCAGACCCCAGGGGATGCCACCCGCCCTCCCTGCCAGAAAACACACCCATCCCCTGCCCCTCCCCACACCATCCTCGCAGCTGCCGACAGACCTCAGGGACCAACACAGGCGTCTTCTCTGAGCAGCCTGGGTCTGCCTGGGAGGCCCTGTGAGTGCCTCCAGTGCCCTCAGGGCAGCCCTGCCGTGTGGGAAGCACAGCCGCAGAAATGGGCGGTGCAGGCTTGGCCCAGAAACACATGTGAATCAGGCCCTGGGGAGACGCAAGCCCAGCTGGCGTGAGGACCTCGCCGCAGACAGGTCCCCGCCCGCCCCTTGAGGTATGGCGAGGCCAGCACAGTCCATCTGTCCCTCCATCTGTCCCCCAGTCTGTCTACTACTGGGCCCTGTGCAGCCCTTCCTGTAGACCTGACACAAACGCAAGCTCACCTACCTCCCTGGTGACCTTCCCACAGTTGTCAAAGTCGTAGAGCGTGAACGTCCACTCCTGGCGGTCGTCGTCCTCCACCGAGACATCGCACTGGAGTGCCTGCGGGGGACATGGGGGCTGGGACCTCGCCTCCTACCCACACCAACACGCCCCATTCTGTAGGGGGCAGGATCTTCTGGGGCCTTTCCCGGGGGTCCCTCATGCCAGCCAGGAAAGGGGGAGCCTAGAGGGCAGCGTGGCTGGAGCCCAGGCCCTGGAACCAGCAGATCTTTCTTGTCTGTCTTCGGCCTTCCTTGGGGGGACCCAGCTTTGTGCTCCGTGACTTGGTTTCCCCACAGTGACACCTGTCTCAGCTCATGCAAGCACTCCATGTCCCCCAGAAGGAGAAGAGGACACGCTGGCCGTCAAGTGTTGTCAATTCCAGAAATCTTGACTGGACACGGAGACCCCACCCCTCCCTCAGCCCTCCCGGGAAGCAGAAGCCCAGTGCCCTGTGCCTTGGGCCCGGTGCCCTGCCTCCAGTCGGGCTGTCCGTCAAATCAGCTTTGGCATTACTCCTGTAGTGCTAAGGGTACCAAGGCTGGGAACGTGGCTCAAGTTATTTAATGCCAGACCAGTCAGTTTTGGCCAAATTCACAGCAACATCCCGCACTTGCTGGCTCCTGCTGACTTTGGCTGCATATTCAAGTTTTGCTTCAGTGCTTTAAATGGGGTGAACTGTGGGGAAAACTGAGTGAACTACGTAGTGTCCACAGATGCCCATTTTAGGGCAACACACACCTGTCCCTGTGCCCCCGGCCCCAGGGACGTGTTCCCGCAAGTGAGGCCAGAGAAAGACCTACGTCAATGTTGAGGCGCTGCCCGCCTCGTCCTCGTGGGCCCTCACGGTTTGCTGCCCTCTCTCCGTCATCTGCGCTGAGTTGTTGTCCTGGGCGCTCGCGGCCCTCAGCTTTCTCAGTGGGGAGTGCCACTACGGGGACAAGAGGTGGCGAAGGGGCTGGCAGAGGAGACATGGAGGATGTGGCCTGCCATGGGGGGGGGGGTGTCGCTGCCCTCCCCTCCCCGCACCATGATCCCATCCAGACGAGCCTGAGCCAAGAGCCTGATCTTGGGACCCCTGCAGAGGGGAGAGAGGCCCCATCCCAGCCAGCCTCAGCCGGGTGTGCCCTCCTCTCACCAGCCCACAGTGGCTCCCAACTGCAACCACCACCTCGGGGCTGGGGATGCAGCAGACTCCGAGGAGCACAGATAGGGGAAGACAGCCTGGGCCTCCAGGAGATGCTCCCTGTGTCATCATCAGGCCCCTCCCCGTAGACACAGTCCCTACCGCCCTCCACTCCAGAATCCTGGCACTGAGCCCACAGGCCATGCAGACCACCTGTGCACTGAGTGTGTCAAAGGCGGCCCCCTCCCCCAGCCTCTGGGCAGGATGGATGAACAGCACTCAGGTTTCTGGGGCACAATTATTCCATTATTCTCTGGCACTTGCAAGCCGCGTCCCCAGGATAGGAGCATGGGCCTGTCCCAGCTTAGCACCTGCAGACAAGTGCACGTCGAGCCTGAGCTGGGACGACACTCTGGGCCTGCCTTCCCATTGAGGGGGGTCTGGGTGCCTCTCTTGGCTTCAGCAGCCATCTGAAGGTGACCCGGCTGGCTGACCTCCCAGCACCCTCCCACAGACCCACAGGTAAGCCAAGTGTCGACCTGCCACACGCCACAGGTAGGACTGGTGCCACGGAGACACACAAGTGGCAGGGACTTAGGCTGGGCCAGCATCTCACACATCCTCTGACCCAGGGCTGACGTGAAAATTCACAGGTCACCTTTATACAGAGCCACCCCCATCCACAAACACAGGCTCACAGAGACTCCAAACACATAAAGGTGATGCTTAGGGCTCTGGCCATGGGATGTGGGATGGGCCTTTTTCATCTCTCCAGCTGCCAGTCCAGCGAGGACCCTGCGAGTTGTGCTGCCAAGCACGTTTCAAGAACAAGGTGCGTCTGAGTCTGGGAAGCGCCCCTTGCCTCACACACAGGGGGGTTTTAAGGGTGGTTTTCTGGCGTTGCCTTGGTACGGGATGAAGTCTGCGAGGTTTGGGGAGGGAGGGCTGCGGGAGCTGCACTTACCCTCTAGGGGACACTGGTCCTCCCGGAAAGGCCCTTCCTTGGGGTTCCCATTGGGCAGCTCCTGCAGGAAGAACGGGGCAGTCAGCGGCCACACAGCTCAGTGGGCAGGCGGGGGAGACGGGCAGGAGCTCTGGGTGTCTAGACTGGAGCCTGACACTCGCCTCAAGCCTCCTGGGGCATCTCAATCTCTGGGTCCAGAAACACCAACCCTCTGTGCCCCACTCAGCCTCGGATTTTAGGAGGCAAAACACACAGACATTCCCGTGTTGTCAGGTTCCCCAGAGCATTTCCAGGTGGAAGACGCGGCTGCCTAGAACGACCCCTTTGGTCAGTCCTGCCCTGAGGATGCCCCTGGCCAGGGCCCCACGCTGGATCACCCTAAATACAAGAGGAGACACGCCTGCCCCTTTGCTCTGGGGCCTGCTCCCAGCACTGCCCCCCGGAGCCTGACACGAGGACTCCAGCCGCTGCCCCCACGGCTGCCCAGCACCCCAGCGTGCCTCTTCTAGGGCTGCCGGCAGAGACCAGTTACAGAAAATGGGGAAAAACTTCAAACACATCCCAGCGGTGTTTCTGCTGAGCCAAAGCTCACAGGGTCCTCATGAATTAGCTACAGCCTTGAGGACACGGAGGAGACAGACCATGGTCAGGGCAGGGGCCTTGCGTGGCAGTGGAGATGCGGCGTCCCTCAGCCCAGCACTCACCGCCCTGGAGCATTTCCTGAGAGCAGGCAGCTCTCGCACAGGCGGGCTGGAGGGATGGGCAGCTGTGTTTTTGCTTCTGATTCCAGGTCCCTGGAAAGCCGTGGAGAGCCCGCAAGGAGACAGAGCACAGAGCTGAGTCCCGTCCACCTGGACGGCCAGAGCCTGACCCTGGCGATGACTTTGGTGCGAGTTGGTGTCTCCGTGGGTGGACACGGGACCCCAGGGCTGCCCTCATGGTCCCCACGCTTCATCCTTTCCTCCTGACCGGGGTCACATGCCCTTCATCCCTTCTGACCTCCTGGGGGGCTACCGGCCCCGCTGGGGTCCCTGGGGTTCCTGGAGTCTGGCCCGGGCAGGAGGCCGAGAGAGGTCGCCCTCGAGGGCACCTGGACCCCCCCAAGCGCCTCCTGCCACCGTGGTCATTGGCCAGGGGCCAAGCAGGGTATGCTGGAAGGTTCCAGGCTGGCTGGCTGCCACCCCAGACCTTGGGCAGGGAGAAGGACTGGACCCCCATCCACACATGGACACTAAGGTGACGCTGCCGAGGCTGAGTATGGTTGAGTCAGACCCAGGCCCCCAGCCCTCCTTGTGGCTGAGCCAAGGGCCCCCTGGAGCTGAGGTCTCCTGCCGGTCACCCAGGGAGGTGCCAAGGCAGGGTAGGCAGCTCCCAGTGGGAGGCAGGAGAGCTTGCCCTCATTTTAATAAGAAACAAAACAGCTGATTATTAAAAAGTAGGCCTCCCTCCTGGGGGCTGCAGTCCCGACATTCCGGGACTGGCTGCTGCGGAACTGAGGGGCCCTATGAGCCCAGCCTGGCGAGGCCCTCGTACATCCACACAGCAGGGAGGCACCGCTGTGAGGTAAAACTCTGTCCAGGTGGACACTGGCATAAAACCAAATCATCTCTAAAACCCGGGCTGTGGTTATTTATTTTTTTTCAAAATCAGAATAATGGATGAGGCTGCAGTCGTAGGCTTCTGTGGAGTGCAGAGCAGTGCCCAGAGCCCCAGAGGTGCAGCCCCCATAGGCACAGCATCCTCGTGGGAAGGACCAGGTGCCGGGAGCTCCAGAGCCCCTCAGGTGGACTCGTCCAGGTGCTTGGCGGCGGCTGCCAACAGAAATGGTGTCATGAGGGCAGCCAAGGCCCCCCAACGCCCAGGCTGAGGGATGCAGGCACTGTCACTGTGGAGGGCTGGTAGGGAGGGGAAAGTGACCCTAAATGCTGAGGTGGGCGCCCCGAGGCATCCCTGTCCACCCCTGGGAGCTCCAGCCCAGACCTTCTCTGGGACGTGGGGAGGGTGCTGGGGGGCTGCACCACGCAGGGTTCTCAGTCCCCCCACCCCACTGCACCACAATCCCCCACCAAGTGCCCAGTTCACCTCCCATCAGACCAGCAGGCAGAGCTCAGGCCTCCTGCATGGTGCTGGGTGCCCCAAGCCTCTTTACAGATGGCAGTGAGGTGCCCTGGGGCCTGAGGGCCGGCACGCACAGCACTCCTTGCTAAAGAGCCCTAAATGAAGTCACTCATGGAGGCCACATTGCTGTCCAGATGGGGGCAGCAGCAGCGGCTTCCTGGAAAGTGCCAGAACTCATAGGAGCAGCCGGGCAGCAAGTTGGGCGGGGTGGAGTAATTTTTAAGGGATTTTTAAGTGTTTTCCACGATTTGCTGAAAATGACAAGTGAGAAATGGCGCATCACGCACTCCACGCATGATGTCAATACAGCGAACATGCAAACGCCGTCCATGTCATGTGTCTAAAAATTCTGAGTGCACTTGTGGGGGATTTCTCTTTTTTTTTTTTTTGAGACGGAGTCTCGCTCTGTCGCCCAGGCTGGAGTGCAGTGGCGCAATCTCGGTTCACTGCAAGCTCCGCCTCCCGAGTTCACGCCATTCTCCTGCCTCAGCATCCCACGTAGCTGGGACTACAGGTGCCTGCCACCATGCCTGGCTAGTTTTTTTTTTGTGTGTGTATTTTTAGTAGAGACAGGGTTTTGCCATGTTAGCCAGGATGGTCTCGATCTCCTGACCTCGTGATCCGCCCACGTCAGCCTCCCAAAGTGCTGGGATTACAGGCGTGAGCCACCGCCCGGCCACTTGTGGGGGATTTCACTGGTTACAGACAGGAGTCTAAACTTGCGAGATGGCAGGAGGAGGGGTGCAGCTGTTCAAGACAGAAATCTGCACAGACCCGTGGTTTGATTTCTGGAAACGCTTCCCGCACTACACCAACCAGTCAAGCTACAATAACCAACCAACACTGTAATAACCAACCAAAACTACACCAACCAGCCAACGCTCCACCAACCAGCCAACGCTCCACCAACCAGCCAACACTACACCAACCAGCCAACGCTCCACCAACCAGCCAACGCTCCACCAACCAGCCAACACTACACCAACCAGCCAATGCTACACCAACCAGCTCATGACCGAGTTCCTAACACAGAGGAAAATCCCATTTAAAAAAATCCACTTATACCTCAGCCCTAGAATTCTCAGCCCTCGAATGCACAGTGTTTTTTCTAAGCCACAAGTCAACAGCTGCCTCCGAGATGCAGAGAGGATCAAACGGGAAGAAATATTTGCAGTCAAAGCCACACCGGTCTCTGTGGCTGGTGATTTCATCGAATCCGTCCTGGTTGCATAAAATTGCCCTTTAATCTATGCTGCCTCGGTTAACTAGAAGGCCAAGAGCTTTAATTGCAACTTATAAAACCTGCCCCCGGGCCACTGGCCAGATGTGCGGCCCCTCCCCACTGGGGAGACTTCCTGAGAGGCCAAGTCCGCACTCGGAACCCCGGCAGGCCTGGCCCAATGTGCCCCAGCACCCACCAAAGCCTCAGCTTCCCAGGGCAGGCGCCCCTCCCTGAGATGCAGCCCCCACCTGGCCTCGCCCTCCCGAGGACCCACCCTCCCCTCACTCCCTCCCAAGGGCCCAACCCCCCCTCAATCCCTCTCACCCTGCCCCCAGTGAGAGCCTCCTGTGACCCCCCAACCTGTTCCACCCCCCCCCCGTCCCAGCTGCACTTCCGGCTTGGGGTGCCTGGGCACCTCCTCTAACCTGTCCCACTGCCCTGCATCCCTGAGAACCCTCCATGTCAGCAGCAACTCCACGGCTGGCCTTCAGGCCTCCCCATGCCCGCTGTCCCCTCCTGCCCACGGCATCCTCCTGCAATGCTGGGCGCTCTCCTGGCCCCTGGGAGGACAGGGAACCCGACCATGGGCCTGCCCCGTGGGGCCTCATCCCATAAGGAAAGCAGCCGCATCTGCCTGAGCAGCTCGACCACACTCCCTCACTCAGCATCACCTCAGATTTGGGAGGAGGGTCTGACCCCAGGCCACGGAGGCCAGAGCCCACAGCCTCACAGCTGCATGAGCGGCAGGTGTCTGTCACACGGCGTCAGCAACAGGTGGCCTTTGCTCCAGGTCCCATGGCCCCGTGGGACGCTCACAGAGGTCACTCCGGTCTGTGGGCCAACAGCCCCAAGGCCACTGTCCATGTCCCTGCCATGACAGTGAGGACATCTGCTCCCCGCCACAGGCACCAGGCTGAGTGCTTCGTCCTCCCAGCACCCAGCTCCCGTCCTGGTCCCAGCCCAGATGGTAAGATGCAAACCACAGCCTCCACAGGCGGCCAGCCACGGAGAGACGCTCACAAAACAACTCCCAGCTTCCTTAGAAAAGTCAAAAGGAGCATGTTCCCGTGTCCCGTGTGCCAGCACTCGGCAGCACCCAGCAGCTGCAGCACCACTGCCCCCCAGAGCCGCCCCGTCTGTCGGAACCCCTGGAGGGGCGCCAGGCAGCTGCATCACAGGTATCATCCTAGTGGCCTTCAATCTGGAAGTGCCGGTGCAGGCGCCTCTGGAAGGCACCTGGAGTGGGCAATGTCCTCTTCCCAGTAGACAGGCGGGCACGGCCAGGCACCTTTCCCAGGTCTCGGAAACGCAGGGAGGTGCCGTCCCCTCCTGGGCCTCGTGAGGGCAGCTGTTGGCCACAGCCCTGGTGGAACCCCCGGCGGGAAGCACACGGGTGGTCCACAGTGAAGTCATGGCCCCTGGGTCACGACCTAAGCCCTGGTCTAGGGTTCTGGAAATACCAGCCCCGATAAACAGGCAAAGGCTGTGGCATATCCAGGAGGCCAGGCTGGGAGCATCCCCTGGAGCCCACCGTCTCCCCACGAGTTGGGAGGGTGGAGGTGATGGGAGCCGAGGCAGAGGAGAGGGAGCAGGGAGGGAGGAGAGAGACAGAGAGGAAGGCTTCGGAGAACGGGGTGGTGTGTCGGGCAGCACTTTCCAGAACTCGGGGCTCCCAGGTCCCTCTGGAGTGGATGTGGAGCCCCAAGTCTGGGGCATTGTCCAAAAGGCGCAGCTCCTGCTCCACCCGACGCGGGACGGGCCTCTCCTACAGCGTCCATCACCACCAGCAGCGCCTGGTGCCCCTGGATCCACAGGTGCCTCCCGCGCTGTACCCTGGCTCCCCAGTGCCTCAGCCGCCTTGCACTGTGGTGGGGACGGCCCTGTCGGGTGGAGCCCCTGGCTGGAAGTTCCTACCACTGGGGAAATGGCCTCGGTGCACCTCCCTGTCTTTGGCAGGTCAAGCAGTGGCTCTGGAGTTGCACCCAGGGGGCCTCCAGGAGCTGAAAGGAAGGGCCGAGGCAACGGCCTGGCCCATGTCCTGCGGTCATTGCCACCACCCCCGTGGCCACCCTGTTCTGCAGGCTAATCCTGCAAACTGGGCTGCCTTTTGCTGGGCAGCAAAGGCCCGAGGCTTCCAGAATTATGGGGCTGTCGTGGCATCGAGGGCAGGTTTGTGGGGCTCAGGCAGGACGCCAGGTGGTAAGGAGCGAGGTGGGCACCTGCCAGGCTTGGGCTACAGCCACCACTGCCTCAGGGCAGTCGGGAGGTGCCTGGAGTGCAGCTGGTCAGGACCAAGGCCATGTCCAGGCCAGCAGTGACCTTCTGCCTCAGAAGCTGCGAGAACGCTGGACGTGGTGGGATGATGTGAGTGCCCAGCAGGCGGCTCAGGGAGGGGAGCTTCAGGACATGGCACACGGGCTGGAGCTGGGCCTCTCGGGAAAAGGCTGAGGGTGA